GATTCAGCTTCAGGCGGGAGATACTGATAACTCAGATAACCGTGTCAGGGTTTCTCTTATTACCATGAAGAAAACTTACAGGCAAAGTGTTCCTTAAGGGTTGTTAGGGATAACATTCAGGGTTCTCAGACTGTGACGTCTCAGATTTCGCAGCCTCGGTAGGGAGAGAGTGAGGTGAGGAGATGCTCCTGTGACATTTACGTAAAGTCAAGTCTTATGCACTGGGAAGAGTTTGAATGACAGATCGGTAAAAGGATTCAAAGATTCAGGAAACTTGTGTCTATTTTAATTGTTTTGTTTAAAGGCGAGTTTCCCCCCAAAATGAGAGTGTTTTTTGGAGGGACAACAGACTTTTTTCAAATTTTTGTGTTCCACGGTAGAAAGAAAATCATACATGAGGGCGAGTAATTAATGTATCTTCTTGAGAATCAGGAGGATTACGAAGGATCCTTTTATATCCAGTGCCAAGATATAAGTGTATCTTATGACATAATCTCCAACACTGCTTTTTAGGAGTCCTATTAGTTAAAGTAACCTCATTTAGAAAGATGTGTGTAGAATGATCCTAAATGTAGAAGTTGTTTTTGAAATGTTCCTACGAATTAATGACTTAATCTCAGTGATATAATTATCACAAAGCAGTATAAATGTTGCCAATAACAACAAATTCATACTGTGATTTCCTATTTATCTTTACAAATTCATAATCAATGTTGGATTATTTTAATTAATGGTATACGAGCGCAAAACATTTGTACGGATGCTTTTTAGTTGCTGTACTCAAGAACATTTTCACATTTGTTCTTCACTTTTGACATAGGAGGAAATCCGTTTGTATGCGTGTATGTTTTATAATAAGGTCAATAGTTCCTTGTATCTAATGAGTGCTTGTATCATCCACAAAAACAAATGGGCAGACGTATTTATATAAATGCTATTTTGGGGGAAATCTAGTTGCCCACCCATATCACAAGGGACAACATCCTTGCTAATGAGTTGGTGTGGATCTTTATCATTCCTCTTCCTGAGCTCTGAGTAAGAAAATTTAACAGGATATGATTGTGGCACTACCGAATGCTCTATCCTCATTCAGTTCTGTAACTCATGTGGATGGATGTAGCTCAGCACAATAGAAACTTGCCTGCTCCGTCAGACACCCCGACGACTAAAAAAATACCAGCAAAGCTCTCTGTCAACAAGCCCTAGCAGCCAGTTGGCTGAGAGGACAGTCTCTGCTGATACAACAAGACTTAGTCGGTAAGAGAGGGCAAAAGAAACGCTGATGAAACTGCGGTGGGGATTAGGTCACTGTGACAAACTGTGCTTTATGAAAAGCAACTCCTTATTTTGCCATCCTTTAATTACTCATCCTCTTGTCATGAGAAAATACTTTCTTCCATGGATCACAAATGAAAAGATATTGAAAACTGTGCTGGTTGTCCCTTTCCATACAATTACAATGAAATTGTGCAATTTTGGTCTTTTACTCACACAAAGCTATTGTATGAGTTCAGAAGACTTTCAATATACTTGGCACATGGGTTGAAGTTTGACACATTTATGGTGCTTTTGAGTTATTGTTTACAATGAGTGGAGAGTGAAGCTTTCAAGCTTCAACAAAGATTTAGGGCTAGGGTAGATGGTTCACTTGAATTATTATGAATGGGAGAAACTGCAATGCGCAATATGCTGAATAAGTCCCATCTTCAAAATAAAAAGAGCCATAAGCTCCCATTGAAACTGTTATTGGGTCTCAAGGTGGAATTACTGTAAAGTTATGAGAATCCGACTTGTGAAAAGCATTGACGTCCTCATAAAACAACTTGTGAACGAAAAAATTTCTGAGAGCTTAAACTCAAAATGCCTGTGGCTTCTCGAAATATCTCGAAATAATTCTGTTTAATAATTGTATTAACTATTGTTAAAGTCGTGAAGGCATTGCAAATATGGCCTCTGAGTGAACTGACGTTCCCTGATAAGGACTTTGTATCTGCGTGTAAAAAAAAAGAAGCAATCAACACAATCTTCAGAACTTCTCCTTTTGTGTTCCACAGAAGAAAGGAACTCATACAGGCTTGGGATGAGTAAATGATGACAGATTTGAATTTTTGGATGACCTATTCCTTCAAACCCACATACTGCACTCATAAAGAGCTCCACCCTGAAAGCACATTAGGCTTCTTGATCATGAAGCACATTAAGCTAAGAAGAGCAGACAGGACATAGACTTATCAACAGCGATCTCGGCAGCAGAAGGATAACACAACAGATCCACCCATCCTCTCACGCAGTCAAGCGTAAAGATGAGACATCAGCGAATAAAGACATTTTCAGTAGTCTGCAATTCTCATGTGCTGTCTATTCCATCTCCACCAGATTCCCAACACCCTTTCCCATGAGCCTGTGGGGCTGTGATCTATTGGAATGCCTACCCAGCCAATTTCAGTACCACTGTGGCCAGGTCTGGAATTCCCAGAGAGGGCCAGAGCTTGGAAAGTCTGACAGGAGACTTGAACATGACCCAGAATATATGTGGAGCCTGTTATTATAGAGATGCTGAATCGTGTGGATGCAGATGTAATAGGAGCGACAAAATTTAGTGATTTTTTTCCACAGTTGGTGCAAAGCCAAAAACCAGTTGAATGTTAATTTGACATGCAAAACATGGCGCAGAGTGACTGAGAGAGTGAGAGAATGAGAGGGAATGAGTGAAGAGACCTGAAAACAGTCTTTGTGATTCCACTTCTCTCCTTTCATCATGCCACTCAATGAATATTAAATGACTAATCAAAAGCATGACAAAAAGCCTCTCACAGACAAGAACGCCTTTAGCTAATAAATTAAAGAAAGATATGTTTAAACAGTGTAAAAACAGACTCTTTCTTCTTTGTGAATTAAAAAGTGATAATAATAATAATAAGATTTACCATCGACCTCTAAAAAAAATGTATAAGCCCATTTACAAATAACAATGGCTGTGCCTGTGATTGTATAGGTAATATGTTCCTTCTTAACTTTAACAGACTACAGAATGGATGAACCAATATCAGTTTATCTAGATCAGTGTTAAACACTTGCAAGCACTAAGAAGAAACAAAATAGGTTTTTATAAATACAGCATTTTAAAGAAAACATGTCTTTATTATTAATGCGTGGAGCTTGAAAACAAATGATACATCACTTGTTTACATTGTAATAAGCATTCTATCTAATCACTCATATAACACAATCATGCCATCAACAATCACAATCAACTCGAGGCCCAAATTGCATGCAGAATACATTAAACCTATGCTTTGAAGGATTGGACGGCCTTACTAAGCAGAAACAAATCTGCACTGGTCCATGCAATTAAATCATCAGCCTTTATGTTTATTGAAAATGTACTTTCAGGTGACAAAAAAACACAAAAATGAAAACGAGTGCAATGAGCTTATCAAAATAACATGCGCATGCCTTTAAATTAACGGAATGCAGAGCTTTAACAAAATATTATTTAAATATGGTAGCTTACTAATTATGTGCACAAATAACATTATACAAATACAATGTCATATAAATATTTAGCATCTTAATCATACCTTCCTTTGCTGTATCCAGCCCAAAACACACCCTCCCATTCATTCCATTCCCGCAGATGCGCGTGTGCCGGTGAACTCCACAGTGCGGCTGGATGTAGACTCGAACTCAAGCTAGCCAAAAGCCACTGGACTATACCAAACCGCACCCTCGCAGGGGTGCATGCCATGTAGCTGAAACATACCCCAGTTCGTATTTACAAAGTAACATACGTTTTCAAATGAATAGGCCCCAGCATAAAATTATATCTTTGAACATTTTTAAATTGTGTATGTACACAAGTTTAGAAGTAAAAACAGGGCGATACCATTGTAAATAGGCTACTCCGTCAATGTTTGTCTAGAATGCTTTGTAAGCGTGTGTGTGTGCGCGTGTGTGATCTTTTGAAGGCAGCACACGCTTCTTCTGCTATAGGCGTGTCACCAGCGGGAGAAAAACGAGACAATAGAGTTAAACAAGAGGACAGCTGGTGAATAGTGCTCTGGACTATATGAATAGTGTCTGAAATGGCATGCTGCCACAACTTTATTGTTTTCCTGCGTGGCAGCATGCCTGATACTGCTCAAAGTAATTTGCTGACAGAATTTGTCGTAAATATCCGCAGCCTTTAAAGATATACATTGAGAACACAACATGGATTGAGTTTCTTCATTTCTTTGTCGCGCTTGTTTCCCATTTGCCTCCTGTCGTTGCTTTCCTGATAAATGCAGGGTACGGCAGATGGCCAGGCTTTCTTTCCTCGTGGCTCTCTGTGAATTTAAAGATCAGCTAATTAAACGGGGACATTTCCATTTGAAAGGAAGAGTCCGTGGAGATTTCTCTCCCGGCTGGCAATGTGCAGAAGTGCTACCTGTAAATGCAAAGGCAGCAAGACACAAAACTGATTTGGGAATAGAGGGGAAACAAAAAGTTAGGTCAGTGAATAATAATAATTTTAAAAATAAAATAAAAGTCCATGCTATGAGATGTTGGTGGTGAGATACAGATGGAGATCGAAGGATGTAGGCTAACGGTTCCCTTTATATATATATGAAGAGTTCAGATGCAAAAGCCATAAGTACCATTTGAAATTTTCTTCTAAAATGATCATTTTTATCAAGCTTGTATATTTAAGGTCTGTAATTTCACTTAAATGGCAATGAAGATTACCTATCAATTGTCATTTAAGTGAAATTACTGAACTTAAATACACAGGCTTGATAAATGGTCATTCTAGAACAAAATTTCAAATGGCACTTAGAGGCTTTTGCATCTGAACTCTTCATATATAAAAAGTCAGTGGAACCTTATTTTTCTAGTTTGGTCACTTGTCAAACCTTGTATGCCCAATATGATATCAATGTCCTAGTATCATAACTCACAAGTGGGAATATTGAGTTATGTGCTCATTTGTTTTGTAAAAGAAAAGAGGGAGGACACCATATTATACAAGACGCAACTTTAATTCGACTCAAATGTACAGTAAATTGACCTGTTAAATATAGAGCCTCATTATTAAACTAAATTATAGCTGTATTTAATTTCATAACCTCAAAATATTTTGTATATGAAAACATTAGTAAAATTTACAAAGCACATTTTTTTCTCCATATCCTTCAGTTTTGTTGGGTCAACTGTATGTGGCGCAGATTCTCCTTCACTCGTACAAATTCTGGAACATTTTTCTCATCCTCTATGCGTCTTTGTTCCTCCATCTCATACTGTAAGGAGACATTTAAAAGAGCAGTGAACTTTACAAAATGCTCAAAATATTATATGAAACTTCATTAATGGGAGTAAAACATACAGGAGTACAACCGTCCATTCAAAACACATTGATTCAGTTCATTAAAGACAATTAAATAATGCAATGCATCTAGCAAAACTCTTGTCCCTCTATTCCAGTGATAAGGAACATGTGGACAGAAAACGGTCAGTACCTCCTGCAGTTTCTGCTGTCTCTTACGAAGCTCCTGTTCCAGGTCAGAAGGGGGTTGGAGGGCAAGTTCCTCCTCTCTGTGCAGGTCAAGTCTCCTCTGCTCTAGCACACGCTGCAATTCTGGTTTCTCCTCCAACAACAGCCCTCTGAAAACAGAAAGGTTCGAAAGCCTTTAGATCACTTTAGTTTAGCGAACCTTGTTCAGATGAGTAGATTTTAAGAAAAACTGTTTACTGTAAGCATAATGGCATTTAGATCTTAATTATATCTTTCAACTTTGTTTACTATTCTTGGCAAATAAAGTACTCCAAAGTAATCAAATACTTTACTAAGTAAACCTCATGTTGACGTTTCTCTTCTTCACCTCTTATGGCCGAGCAGAAGCTCTTTATGGAGATTCTTGCGACTGGGACACTCGCCGGGTGAGCCATTCAGTTTCTTGAGGTGAATGAGCTCATCTCCGCTGTCTGTGCTCTGCTGGGACACAGGAGGATGACACGCATAGATCTCTAAAAGACAGAGAAGGGAAACATTCAGACTCGCCTATATGAAAGTTAACGAATCCTATTATTTTTAATGCTTTAGTTTATATGACGTGGTGATGGCACAGTGGATAAGACACATGCCTTTGGTGTGAGAGACCCGGGTTCGAATCCACTGTGAGACACCAATGGGTCCCTGAGCAAGACACTTAACCCCTAATTGCTCCAGAGGCGTGCGACCTCTGACATATATAGCAAAATGCAAGTCGCTTTCGATAAAGGCGTCAGCTAAATGAATAAATGTAAAATGTATACGAGACGCAAACTGTAAGATTCATAAACCTATGCCTACACATTTGTCACTGTTTATATGATGCAATGTAAATTCAAATCACAGCAAAGTCAGAGCCCGTACCTTTTTTGTGATGTCTGAATCCTGGCCGCTGGAGAGAAAAAAATTTAAATGTGAATGCATTAATAAAAAGTACACATGCCAATAATACACTCAAATTAATGAGACGCTTCTTAATACATTCAGACAGCAATTTAAATGGGGTAACTCAGTGCCAAAATGTCCATCCACCTGCTGAGAAAAGCACAGAATCAAATCCTCTCAATGGACTGAGATGGCACATGCTCTGCCTCCTAATGTACATTGGCTTGATTTACTATCAGAAGAATTAAGAGGACCATTTATAGCTCATCACTGGAGTGTCCTCAAGTTATTTTTGAGCTCATGACTTCTGAGACTGACTGAAATTATACAACTACTAAGCCAATAGGATCGAGAAAAGGTGTAAGTGGCCACAGTCTGTGTTTCATCAATGTGTTTAGCAAATAAATAATGAATTTAAGTTACAGAATAGGAACATTTTAGAAACCTATTGAACACTACTGAGTGAGATATTAAGCTGGGCATCCAATTTATTGGTTAAAATAAATTACCAGGATAAATCAGCTTAGTCTGGTCCTACAGTGCCACACTCAGTGGCCATCTGTGTGTGTGTGTCAGCCACACACAAACACACCCATGTCCCACCTCCCCATTCCTGAACCAAAACAGACTTGTCTGAAATACACAATTCATGCAAATCATGATCACCATATTATGTAATAGTTTGTGATAAGCTCATATAAAATAAAATTGACTAGAAATGATGCTATTGAATTGGAGCAAGATTTACGTTTCATGTGAAAACTAACTGCATTACTAATACAATTAACTTCAGAAGCCTTTTAACTCATGATTGATAGGCTACAAGAGGCAATGAGCAAAGTCAAATCGACTGATGAAATCAAAAGTGTAGCCTATGTCAGATTCCCATATGGGTTCATGTACCAATTACCTGAATTAAAAAGTATTTCAAGTGTTTTTCCACTTGAAATTAACTATGGAAAAGTAACTGGACACCAAATAAATTCAATCCCCATTCCTGCGACATATAGCTACAGATAAAAACACAACTACACTTAACTGCTAACTTTGTAGGAAACACCGAGGGTTCACCAACTACACTTAAATTATGTCACTACATTTCTAGACAACGCTCACCTCAACACACACAGCTGATTGTTTTTTTGTTGTGTTCAAGAAGTCCAGCATTGTGCGGCTGGTGTCGAGACTGTGGCTTTCGCTCACTGTGTTGCTCTGTTTATGTTCAGTGATGCTTGATGCAGACATTGCGTTCAATCCATAGACAGTATAAGAAGTTCAAAGTTCAAACTCATTACGACATTCCAGATTAGCCTTCAACTAGGCCTATACGAGGCACACAGGATGCCAGATTAGCTAATTAATGCAGACATCAATGCTGTTTTTAACTCTTTTCCTTCCTTGGAAACATCGACTCTTGATCTCTTTATTTCTTCATTTCTTTATTAAGACTAAATTAAATTAACAGGTGTTTGTTTAAACCAACAGGTATCGTCTAAATTGTGTAGTTTATTCCTGCACGTTTACAAAATGCACTTAATTAAAATATAAAAAACAATATAAAATAAATAAATGAGATATAAAATAGTTAATATTTTATATATATATATATATATATATATATATATATATATATATATATATATATATATATATATAAAAATAACGAACGCTCCTCATCTTTTATAAAACGTTACCAACCACAAGAGGGCACTGTGACTTTTGGTGTTGTTGAAAAATTTCCCATGATTCCAAAGTGCCATTTATACTGACGTCAACCAGGACGTGAGGTCATTGAGTGAATGTGTCGCGCGTGTGTGAGGTGAGTGGTTGTTTGTGTGCATGAATGTTTGTGTTTTGTGAAAGTGTGTGAGAATGAGACTTTTTTTTGTTTTAAATAATCTACACCATGATCTTATTTGATCTTATCCGAGTTGTTGCCCTGCTCGGGTACAGAAATGATAGTAACCGACTCGGGAGCTTCTGTAGCGATGATCGTGAGGCTTTTTCACTGAGGGCACCACAGTTGAAACTGTGGTAAGAAATGATGATTCGATCAGATATACTAGAGCAAGCAGGGTGCTGGATCTTGTTCCAATACGCCCTGTTTGTTCATTGAGTATAATGGCGATTCTGATCTCACAATAACAATCAGTGAGCCTCACGGAGCTGCACTCTAAACTATGTACCCATTTTAAGAAGAGACTACACCAACATGTCTTCATTTCTTTTATTTTTCCATCCTTGGTATATTGTTTGTGGCGTTTCATTACATAACCATCTGGAAAACAGGTTGTCATCTTTGTATTGTGTCAAGTAGAATAAAAGCCGCCATCATGCTTACGTGAGTATCCTCGGTTTGTAGAAGCGGTGTGATGAGACTCTGTAAAAAAGAAAAAAAAAAAAAAACACGGAATTTATTTTCCTCCCCCACAATATACTCATTTTCTTATGGGTTGAATATTAATTCTCACCTATGGACCCTTTAATACTGTATATAGAAGCCTTCTGGATGTCGACCCACACTCTTATTCCTTTGTTGTTCTCATACACGGAGTCTTCCGATTCTCTTTTTTTCAGGGTCCTGTGTGTAAAATAAAAAGCATGGCTGAGAGGTTTAGACTTGCTAAGCCTTCAAACGAAATGAATGATTACTTTTGTTTTAAAGTGACAATAAAAAATATTTTTAAGAAGTGTCCATTTCCTTCCGTACAGAAAACATGTGTTTGCAGGCTTGGTTAACATGTGAAGTGGATCAAAAAAGGTAGCCCTCAAACCGTATTCACTTTATAGCCTTTAATCCTGTAATTGTGGACAAATGTGGGCACAAAGGACTCAGGTGTGATCCTAATTTTTATTTATTATGAATGTTATATCACTGTCTTTGATAAAGTTTTGTCTATCTATTTATGGTGTTTTTTTATTTTGGGGATATATATATATATTTGATTTTTTTTTTATTCAAAAAGTACAATAATTTCTATGTAAATTATGCTTATTTTTATGTTTTATTTTTTTCCAACTACATAAAAATATCATTCCAATAAGTTCTTAGAGCTAAAACCTAAAGATGAAGACTTATTTTAGAATGCTCTAAATTAGTTTTTCCCATTCATTTCTATGGGTGCCATTTTTGACCGAAATACAAGATTAAGGAGTTTTTTTCACCCACTTAACATTGTAGAATTGAGTAAAAAAAAAATGTGTGTGTGTTCAGGAGGCAAACTTGTACTGCTCAGATCAAGGGAAGTATTTTTTTTTTTTTTTTTTTAAATCAAAACTATTTTGCCCACATTTGCCAAGAGTACGGTTTTAGGGTTAATCAAAGTTGTCCTAAGACAAGAACGGGTATTTTTCAAAATTAATTTATAACTTTGATGAAAAGTCAAAACATAGAGTAACCAAATGTTGGTTACCCTATGTGCATAGTGTGTGTGTGTGTGTGTGTGTGTGTATAGAGAGAGGGAGCCTTACGCATTATCCAATGCAAGAGTTTCTTTCTGCGTCACAGTTTGACTTTTGTTTTGAAATAATCCTAGGTGATGGTCGTAGGCCGATTTTAGATGAATGTCCAGACTGTCGTTTGGTGCCTTAACAAAGTTTTGCATTTCAAAAACACAGTTGCTTTGAACCAGAACATATTTGCACACTCATTTAATTTAGTTACAGTACGTTAATTTAAGTAACATTAAAATTCAAATCCTCCTTCGAGGTTTAATAAACTTACTGAAGCATCATTATGAAAGACATTTCGATGAGAACTGGCCTGTGTGTTCGTGTTGTGGAGTCTCCTCCAGGGTTCATCATTTTGTGCGAGATGTGTTGGCTTGTCATACGGCAATTTCTGATTGACGAGATAATAAGTGAAACGTGACACATGTAAATAAATGTGTTTAAGTTAGCCTATATCAGAAACTACGGGGCCAGTTTTAAAGTTTGAAGTTCATATTTTACCTGAATTGCCTTCGTCCCTGTGTATGTTTCGTCGTTTTCATTTCGCGGGAATGGAAACGGATCTCGTTCTTGTGGCATAGCTATTCCCACAGTATCCAGATGAGTTTTATGGAATGTAACAACTCGATGTGTATTGGGATTTTTTTACTTGCAACTTTTTGTTGTCCCTCCCACCGTCGCCTAGAAACCAACTGAGCTTTGTTTCTGCTGCAACATCACACACAGCGCGAGGCGTAAATAAATTATATGCTTACATTACAAACAAGCTCACCTGTGTGTGAAATTTTATATTAACAGTTGATTAACTGAGTATTGACCCCGTTGTTGTTTTTTTATAACAGCAAAAAAACAAACAACAACAAAAAATATATACTACGTAGGGTGAATTCAGGTTGAATGGGAAACTTTTCACAAGTCATCTCAATGCAAAAAGTGTCCCGATGTGTTTCCCAATTGAAGATCAATCTTATGCCATGATTGACTCTTTGCTCGTTATAAACACAGGGACCAATAAGATTGTGTTCTCTTGTCGTTGTTAAGTCTTGACGAATATTCATCTATTTAGATATAGCCTATACGGACACGTTTGCAGTTGGGACTCCATCCCAGGGCGACTGACCAATAGGAGAGCTGAGCGCAAGCTTAGTATGTGCAAACAGTGTTGGGATAAAAGCGCAGCAATATTAACAGCACGTCTGTTTTATCACACGCCTTGCCTGAAGGAACATATCTTTTGGAAACAGCTATGTTTTTAAGCCACGTGCTTTTCATTGCTGGAACGCAAAGCGTTTCTGTCATATTTTTGCTCCATTTACTACTTTTGACGGACACTGCCGAATTACCCAGCTGCAAAGAGGTAAGATATTAATTTGTTGTGCATTAACAGATTGCTACGCTACAATAGTAATCTTTTAAACGCAATTTCATGTGTTTTGTTCTATATATTTATTATTAATTTGCTGTTTATTTGTGACAGCTGCTACATACTTATTGACTGACAGTACTGGCTGAACTCACATTGACAGAATAACACATTTGTGAGCTGTTGCTGATGCAATATTGATCCTTATAAACACCAAACATTATCATACAGGACTGGGGGATTAGGCCAGTACTTTCTATATAAATAAACTGCTAGGTCCATAAATAGAAATACACTCAACATAGTTTCTTCCCAGATCAGAAATTGAAAGGCACCTGTTTTGCTCACGTGCCAAGAATCATCTTGTACACACATCATCACGCAGTGAAGCTTGTGTTTCACATTATGTCACTTTACAAATAAGAAACCATGAAAACATTCAAACAAATGCAAACAAATGCAAAAACATTGCAGTCCACCTTTATATTCCACTCTCTGTCCTCAGTTTTCTCAAGACAATAATCATGTTTGAATAAGAGTGAGGATATGGAAATGAGACGTGTCACACATTTACCTTATCATGTCCAGATAAGCTTGTCTGTTGCCTTAGAGAGCTGTGTGAAATGGACATCTGCTGCAGCAGGGTCAGATGACAAATGGCAGTATTGCTGTTGGTATTCAGTACCTGCATTGATACTTGTCTGACTTTCAATTTCTTAATTATTTTGTTAATAATATATGTATATATATATATATATATATATATATATATATATATATATATATATATATAGTATGTATATATATATATATATATATATATATATATATGAAGACCTCCAATGCAAAAGCCTCTAAAAGCCACCTATGACAAAAATTAGATAATAATATTGAGTGAATGCTCTCCGCACATAGTATACGTTCATAAAATACTTTTACTTCAAACTCACTAAATCCCAGCCTCAGTTTATTCAGAAATATCGGTACTTGGGTAGAAACCTATAAGAGCCTGTTAAAAATCACTCTTTTTTCCTAACTTATTTCTTTCAGTCCCAAACTGGATCAGCTCATTGCAGCACACAAAGGGATTTTTCTTAGCCCTCCACCTTCCCCTGCAACACCTGCCTAGATCTGCTAGTTGGTTTTCCTCACAGCAGCTTGATTCTATTCACTATACCCTCACTCATGCAGCAGAAGCAGCATATTTAGCACCAAAAAGCCGGGGACACACTTAACGACTGTAAGGCCGATTATGAATGTAATTAGGTACTTACGACTGATCATGGCCAAACACACAGTCGCGTTCAGCCAGTGTTAACAGTTTGCATTTAAAATTCGTTCCAGTCATTCGTCCCCGGCATAAGCCTATGCACATTTTATCAATAAATGATGTATATATATATATATATGTGTGTGTGTGTGTTTGTGCTTGCACAGAAATAACATTATTGTCTAATTTTATTGTTATAATTGCAAACATAATTGAAAATAGACCTTGCCAATGACCTTGGGAAAAAAACAACAACAACAACACAGACAGAAAATGATTTATGTGGGAGTAAGAGATTAATCAGGTAATCTGACTCCTACAAGACACCATAGAAACAAATGTCACTCTGTTCTGTTGCCTTGGTTTTTTTGTTTCATCATTTATATGGATGTGGAGATTATGATGTGGACTGCTTGCTCAGAACAATCTTTCTTTCTTTCTTTCTTTCTTTCTTTCTTTCTTTCTTTCTTTCTTTCTTTCTTTCTTTCTTTCTTTCTTTCTTTCTTTCTTTCTTTCTTTCTTTCTTTCTTTCTTTCTTTCTTTCTTTCTTTCTTTCTTTCTTTCTTTCTTTCTTTCTTTCTTTCTTTCTTTTAGACATAACATAGCTGAATTAACACAAAGCACATATAGGAACCACTACCACTTGTCATGTTAAGGTTTTGTTAACAATTAATCTTGTTTCATTCCACATGGGTTGTTCTGATTTGCTCTGTGAAGGGTCTGCTGTTACCTCAGGTGCCATTCAGGTTAATTTAGATTCATGATTCTTTCCAGCTGCCGGTTCTTTGGGGGAGTTAGCTGCCTGGACTGTCAACATTTAAAAACCATTGGTTTCATTTAAACTGTGTCTTTAGGCATTTAAGTATCTCTTATATATAAACAAAATGTTTAGAGGTGTTAAAGGTTTATTTACTCAAGATTTTATTTCATGTGCTTCTCCCTCTTCGCACAATGGTGAGTAAATAATAGGCAACACGTTAAAAACTGTCTGTTTAGACAAGGAAGACATCCTTGAAGCTGATCACTAGTGGGTGGATCCGCCTACAGTGCAAATATTGATCCGACAAAGTGTTTTAATAGGGGATAATCCAGAGACATATTAATCACAAGATGTTAGTAACTACAACATCAGAGGGTTGGTTTCCACAGTGACAACAAATTTGTCTGTGAAGCACAAAGTAAAAAGTTTTGCATCTTAGCTAATAATTGTACTGAAAATAACTAAAATGCCTTGTTGATGCTAGAGGTCAGAGGAGAATGGGCCGACTGATTTAAGCTGATAGAAGAGCAACTTTGACTGAAATAACCACTCGTTACAACAAAGCATTTGTGAAGCCAAGCACAACCTTGAGGCGGATGGGCCACAAAAGCCGAAGACCCCACCGGGTACCACTCATCTCCACTACAAATAGGAAAAAGAGGCTACAATTTGCAAGAGCTCACCAAAATTGGACCGTAAAAGACTGGAAAAATGTTGCCTGAGTCAGAATTTGGCGTAAACAGAATGAGAACCCTTCATGCCTTGTTACCATTGTGCAGGCTGGTGGTGGTGGTGTGTGGGGGATGTTTACTTGGTACACTTTAGGCCCCTTAGTGCCAATTGGGCATTGTTTAAATGCCACGGCCTACCCGAGCAATGTTTCTGACCATGCCCATCACATTATGGCCACCATGTACCCATCCTCTGATGGCTACTTCCAGCAGGATAATGCACCATGTCACAAAGCTTAAATCATTTCAAATTGGTTTCCTGAACATGACAATGAGTTCACTGTACTAAAATGGCCCTCACAGTCACCAGATCTCAAACCAATAGAGCATCTTTAGGATGTGGTGGAACGAGAGCTTCGTTCCCTGGATGTGCATCCCACAAATCTCCATCAACTGGAAGATGCTATCCTCTTAATATGGGCCAGCATTTCTAAAGAATGCTTTCAGCACCTTGTTGAATCAATGCCACATAGAATTAAGGCATTTCTGAAGGCGAAAGGGGATCAAAACACAGTATTAGTATGGTGTTCCTTATAATCTTTTTGGTGAGAGTATACTTTAATAATTTTGCAGCATTTTTCTGGCTAGGTTGATTGTTTTGCACATTGTAGTGGACTGTTTTTTTTTCTTCTTAACTGAAGCATAATATACAGGTACATTTTTTTTTTATTATTCAAACTGAAATCAACATTTCATGTCCACATTTTATTTAAATATTTTGTAGCATAATGGCTTTCTAAAAAACTCTTTATTAGTCTATTTTTCCTGATCGTAACTGGATGACTGGACAATTTCTTCAGTCATTACTGATTAAAGTTGATGTGGTTGACATTTCTACAGTTGTGCCAACAAATGTATTAACCTTACAAAATATTGTTTGATTTTTTTTTTCCATAGTCCTATTTTCATAACCGAATGACACAGAAAGACACATTTTAATTCAGTTGTTATTGTATATTTCTTTATTTTGCAGTCTGATTACCATTTTGAGTACACAGACTGTGACGTTTTGGGCTCTCGATGGAGAGTGGCGATACCCAACAAGCCAGAGACATGCACTGGCCTACCTGATCCAGTCAAAGGCACTCAATGCAGTGAGTACTTACCACACACACACACACACAAACATTTTGTTTTCATGTTTTACTGTGACTTTCCATAGACATGATTTTTATACTGTACAAACTGTATATTCTATCCCCTTACACTAACCCATACCCCTAAACCTACCCAATCACAGAAAACTTTCTGCATTTTTACATTTTCAAAAAACATCACATAGTAGGATTTATAAACTGTTTTCACACATGGGGACCAAAAATGTCCATAAAAGCACAAGAATTTCAGATATTGCCATATCTGTGCGAACATTTTGTCCCCATACACACAGAAACTAACTAGATACAAATGATTAATGATACTGTCTATATTATAACATGCTATGTTACAAGTTGTGTAGTTTTCGAATCTAGAAAGCCATTAAGATACTTTAATTGTGTTGTGTTTTTTTCTCGGTTGTTAGCGTTCACCTGTAATGAAGGCGAATATCTGGACATGAGGACTCAAGAGTGTCAGAAATGCGTCGCAGGGACCTATTCTCTTGGGACAGGTGTTGCCTTCGATGAGTGGGACAGTTTGCCCACTGGCTTTATCAGCCATGGCATCGATGTTAACTTTGGAGACACTTACACAAATTGCTCCAAGTGAGTGTCTCATTTGTATGTAAAATGAGAACTACTGCAAAATCTGCTCAAAATTCAAGATCAAGTGGATGGTTGAACCCTTCAACATTCACTTAACTGTAATTGCATGCACATAATGTTTAATAGTAAATGTAAAAGTGCTTGACGAGTCATGACCTTGAGTTATTTGAATTTAGATTAAAATGAAGAACAGACATTTGTGGAAATTTGCTTTTATGGGAACCCATTGCATGTGTTTTTTTTTTTTGCATTTGCATAGCTCAACATGGATCCCGAAAGGTGACTATGTTGCCTCTAACACAGATGAATGCACTTCAACTCTTTCCTATGCTGTGAGTTTGAAGAAGCCTGGATCTGTTTCCTTCCAGTACTTCTATCCAGACAGCCACATCTTTTTTGAGTTTTATGTAAGTAAACATAGAATACACATGCATATTTATATAATATTTAAATAATATTGTAGACAATATGAAGTAATAAACTGAGTTTTATAATAACCAAATGTGTTTCTGATGGTATATACCCTGATAATGTTGTTATGCATGATAGGGGATATGACAACGTAAGTGTGTTAACAGGTTCAGAATGACCAGTGTCAGTCTACAGACTCTCAACGTCGCTGGATGAAGATATCAGAAAGTGATTGGGATCATCATTATGTAAGTGTGTATCTTTTGAGAGAATATGTAGAAGTTCCAGGCCTCAAAATCTTTTCTTTTTGCTGTATAACCAGGTAGAGCTGAGTAGTGGTAACAATGTCTTGTACTGGAGAACAACAGGTTTCACTTTGGCTGCCAACACTGCCAAACCAGTTCTGCTGAAGAACATTAGCATCTTGGGTATTTATCCATCCATCACAATTATTTGTGTACTACTTCAAACAAAGATTGAATACTTTCTAAATGCATGAAAAACAAAATTAAAAAATAACAATCGACCTTTTTTCTTCTCAGGGGTCTCGTATACGTCGGAGTGTTTTCACTGTAAGCCTGGTACCTATAGTGATAAACCAGGGGCTGCCCACTGCATCCCATGCGCTGCTAATTCATACTCTAATAAGGGAGCCACTGCATGTCAACCCTGTGAGGCAGACAAATATTCAGGTGTGTCTCAGCATCTTTAAAGCAAAATGACCATGAATGTTAATTCAGGTCAGCCATCAGGGTCAGCAGCTGCTGTTGTTTGTTCTCCATGTCATGTCATCTTCATCTCTGCTCATAGTTTTGATTTCCTTTTGTCTTTAGATGTGTGTGAGGATGTTTTGTGTTAGTGGAATGGTAACACTTTACAATACGGTGCACTAATAAGCATTAATTCATGCTTAGCTAATGCACAGATAATACTGCATAATGTGTAACTAATGATTATCTAAGCTACTCATTAATGATTACCACATTAGGAAGTAATTAAGAGTCTGTAAGGTTAATGTATTAGTTCATTCATGAATTGTTTTTAATTAAAAATGTAATTTTGGATTCATTCCATAATAACTAATTTTTTTAAGTAATAGTGTTAATTAATATGTTAATTACCAGAATGAGCCAAAGCCTTTGTATTTCAACTTCCAGATAATCTGCCGGGGACACTAATATGCATTAATACATAATTAATTACTATATTTTTTGTGCAAATTCATGTGCAAATTACTACAAAATGACTAGTTAATAATGATGTGCCTCCACAAGTAAAGTCATAACACAATGATACCTTTGCAAATCATTAGCTAATGATTAATTAACGCAGACAACTGGAAGTTGCAGTGCATAGCTTTGACTAATTGTGGTAATTAACACATTAATTTACACTATTAGTTAATAAAATTAATCATTAATTAATTGTTTAGTTCTTCATGAGCTATACATTAACTCATGATTATCTGCAGTGCACCCGTATTGTAAAGTGTTACCATGTTAGCTATATTAAAAGGACTTAGTTGTTAAATATTTTGTTGTTAAAGGGGCTATATGTAATAATTTTAATGTATTAAGTGATGTTTGTATTGCCAATGTGTGAACAGTTTGTAACAAAATTGAAAAGAAGGAAAAAACACGACATTACCACATTTCCTGTCTGCCTAGCCTGTAGACTGGTTTCACAGGAAAAATCCAAAGGATTTAAAGGTTACATTCTCAACTATCATAAAAGTGTTGTTTTAATGAGCTACCTCATCTGTCACACGATGCCTTTGAATCGCAGAGCTGGTGCAAATATCCAAATCGCTATGACCAGATACTTTCTAAACTGCCGCTTTCTCACCCGTCATTTTTTTGTGGGTTTATTTTGTTATTGAGAGGAAAACGAGCAGCACATATTTGCATATTCATCTAAACGTTGCTCTCAGCAGCGTGGATGGCGTCGGGATGTTCGCTGCAACTGTATTTCCATTCCAACATTTTACTTTTAAGCAACGAACGAAAAATTTCGCAGTCAGTCTCATCTCTTGTATGTTATGTTTGCACGAGTGCGAGGCTGTGTGTGAGTGTGAGCATGATCAATAAGTTCTTGCCTGCAGTTCACTTAACGGCCACCGATGTCGCTAACAAGGGTTTCTAAATTCTAAATATAGCCCCTTTAAACCTGCTTTAAAGGTTAAACTAACAAATAGCCTACTGTATATCATTCATATTCTAGAAAAAAAATAGCTTTTCTTTTTTTTACAAAGCATTTAATCAAATGTTTTTTTTAATGACTTGTGGTCACCCTACAAACGCCTTGTAAAGAGTTTTGACTGTTTCATCTGCATAGATGTGATGAAACATTTAAATGTAACCACATGCAAGTACATGTTAATGTAAATTACCTGGAGGCCCCTGTGCATGTACGCTGTTGGATTTGCCTACTGTGTTTTATCACTTTATCTAAACGAGTGTGTGTGCGTGTGTTTTTCCTAACGCCACTGGCGTTTCCTCTCCTGTGTGTGTAACTCTAGGGATTGGTTCTGGAACCTGTCTACAGCGACCGCCCTGCAAGACGACTGATTACTTCTATACTCACACACCATGTGACTCCAGTGGTCAGGTACCATTCTTTTTTTAAATTTAATTTTATGTATTTTATTTTATTTATTTAAGGCTGTGTTCAATCACACTTGTAGGTCAGTTCTCTCTCTCTCTCTCTCTCTCTCTCTCTCTCTCTCTCTCTCTCTCTCTCTCTCTCTCTCTCTCTCTCTCTCTCTTTTAGTCCAGTTCAGAAAATTATACATTTAGTCGTATTTTTAACCGAACCTAAAGATACAAAAAAATGCTTTTATACCAAACATACAAAACAACGCTGTGTGCTAGACTAAATGCACTCGTTGTATGCATGTACATGGTGTTTTTAGATAGACAGAACTCAGAAAAAGCTTATAAAATGTGTAAAAGAGTCAAAACAGCACCTGGAATTCGAATATCTGCTGCAAGGAGATGGAAGATCCCGACACCTGTACTCAAATGTAATAATGAGAACAAACAGATAAGCTTTTTAGGGTTGCATTTTTGTGACATCATGCCCTGTTTTTGATTGGTTTAGATGTATTTGGTCTGTAGTGTATTGCGTTCACATTTCATTCAAACTGCATGTTACCAGATGGCAGTGTTCAAGCGTAAACACATCATAAATGTCCTTTTATACATTAAATCATCTCCATCTGACAACTGATTTTTGTGTGTGTGTGTGTGTGTGTGTGTGTGTGTATTTAGACACAGCTGATGTATAAGTGGATTGAGCCCAAGATCTGCAGTGAGAGTGTGGAGGAGGCCGTGCAGCTCCCGGCCTCAGGAGAGATGGTGGCCTGTACTTCATGCAATCCAGGATTCTTCTTCAGCAACACCTCCACCTGTGAACCCTGCCCACATGGCTTCTATTCAAATGGGACAGGTAGAGAGACACAGCCAACAGGACAGAGAAAAACAAACATTAAACTAACCTGTGACAGGATATGCATCAGTGTCGTATCTCTAGATTAAATGTGTGCTTTTGTGTATTATTCAGTGCATCAATAGCAGAATTCAGTATTAGAAATCACCAACTGTGTCACATGTGTTCAGAATGTTCTGAGTGTCCCGCTGGAACGGAACCAGTTGTGGGTTTTGAGTATAAATGGTGGAACAAGATGCCCGGCAACATGAGGAGTTCAGTCTTCAGCTCAGAATACAGCAGCACTGAGAGGAGCACAGGTACATTTTGATTGAGCCATTGATTGGGGATATAGTTTTTTTTTTTAGACATTTTTTTTTGTTTTGTTTTGCCATAGTTGTTGATGTAAAGGGTTTTCGTTGTATCAGGCTGGGAGGTTGCGGGCGAGTACATCTACACCACACCAAGCGATCAGGACTCTGATTACATGCTGCTGACGCTCACAGTTCCTGGATACAGGTGAGCACACACTGCTCTCATATGTTAACAAACAGCAACTGCATCTTATTAATGATCTCAATATGTTAAATGAAGCATCAACATTACTAATACCAGAGACAAAAAACCTGGGTTAATAATTTACTCTATATATGTCATTTTGGTCTTTCCTTTTTTTCAGCCAGCCTCATTCCCTGAGTGAAGACAAAGAGAGAGTCGCGCTTTCCAGAATAACATTTGTGTTTGAAACGAAGTGTACAGCTGATTGTAAACTTTATTTCATGGCAGTGAGTTTGACCATGTCATTGTTTGACCATGTTTGACCAAACATTTATATTGTGTCTCATATCTTTAACTTTTATATCTAATATCTGTTATCTTACTTTTCCAGTATACTGAGGAGTGTTTTCTTTTATTGTTTAAAATACAAGATATATAAGATTGGAGTCAGTAGGATTTTCAAAATGTTTTTGAAAGAAGTCTCATGATTAAAAAAAACAGTATAAACAGTAATATTCTGAAATACTATTACAATGTAAAAGCTTTTTTTTTATTTTAAAATGTATTTTGGTCCTGTGATGAATTTTAAGCTGAAACAACATGGTGATTTGATTTGGTACTTAAAGGGTTAGTTCACCCAAAAATGAAAATGATGTCATTAACCTCCGTTCATCTTCGAACATGGTTTAAGATATTTTAGATTTTAGAAAATGTATGTACAGTATACTGTCCTTATCCATAAAGACATCATCAAAGTAGTCCATGTGACATCAGTGGGTTAGTTAGAATGTTTTAAAGCATAAGGAATACATTTTGGTCCAAAATTATCAAAAACTATGACTTAATTTAGCATTGTATTAACTTTCGGTTTTACGTTCACGAGTCTGCTGATGTGTTACACATTCTAACTCACCCACTGATGTCACATGGGCTACTTTGATGTCTTTATTTCCTTTCTGGACAAGGACAGTATACCGTACACATTTTCAATGGAGGGTCAGAAAACTCTCAGACTAAATCTAAAATATCTTGAATTTATTTTAAAAATAAATCTATTGACCCCAAACTTTTAAGTTTTAACGTATAATATAATCATTATAATATTTTTGCCTTTTCTTTTAGAGTTTTAATGTCTAAAATTTGTCTACATCTCTCCTCAGGGTCAGAATGAAAGGAATAATATGGTCGTGGAGGCTTGGTCAGGCACTATAGGAAAGCAGTCCTATTCTTATCTTATTAAAAGCAACAACACTGTTAGCTTCACCTGGGGTTTTCAGCGCACTGTGGCCTTCAGCATGGTGAGTTTAACCCGACATCTTTCACTTCCTGTTTTGTTTTTACTTTTTTACTGTTAAATCAGACTATTTAGACTCTAAAAGCCTTTGATAATCTATGAATGTGTGTCTGTGTTACAGCAAAATGAATACAGCTCTGACCTGGCTAAGATCTACTCAGTTCACCTCACTAATGTGATTGGGGGCGTGGCTTCAGAATGTCGACAGTGTGCCTTGGCTCTGGCTGACTCTGACTCTGCCTGCGTTCCCTGCCCTCCAGGACACTACATGCTGAACGGCACTGGAGTGTGTAAAAGCTGTCCCTCAAATACCATCATCAGGCCCGAGCGGCCAGTCGGAAAGGAAGCCTGCATACCTTGTGGACCCAATACTTACAGTAATCAAGTGAGCACTCCAAATGATTAACACCACTTATGATACATCTATAAAACAGTTCTTTCTGGTTCTCGAATCTGATTGGCTGAATGTCTTTTCCAGTCATGCGTTATCATGCGATATCCAATATATTTCACCATTTACCATTTATTTCACCATTTGTATAACTAGGCTTAAATCCTTTTTTACAGTCTATGAGCAAATCCACCATATTTTTTTTACAAATACTACTGTTGTTGTTTCACAGAATGTAGTTTTAAGAGTTTTTTTTTAGGCGAGAATGTAGTTATTTAACCTCAAATATGTATATATATATACATAATGCCTATTTTACTATTTGTTTAGAAGTTTTTGGAGATTGAACTCAAAGCCATTCAGCAGCCGTTCAGGGCTCATGTACCTGCAGAGAACAGCTTCTCGCACACATACACACACACACACACACACACACACACACACACACACACACACACTGTATATTAAGCAGTTATGATGAATATTATTGGGTGGTAAAAATCTTTTATATCCTTACCACTATCCAAAAGGACAAAAAGAGAAGTAAACTGATATAGCCTAGACCCCTGTGATCTGATTGAACTTAATACAGTGCATCAAAGTGGAGTAATATTTTGATAAGTAATCTGTCCATTTTTGTATTGTGGATGATGGGAATACAATGTTTTCAATGCACCTTGACCTATAACAATCTGCTATTGAAACCATTTTGTATAAAATTAATTTGTATTTATTTGATTGAGTTTTGACTGACCATTCATGATAGCGCCACCTAAATAATAATTATTTATAACAATATGATATGAATGATTCTACATCGATCAATGCCTTCAATAGCCTTAATTTATTGCAATATAATTTTAACTTCCCCAAAACTATAAATTTACACGGTTCCATTGTAAACTGTGCAGTTTATTAACCACAGACTAGACAAGACTTAAGTTCTCAGTATTTTTGAACAGTTTTTAATTATACACTCATTACTAGCTTTTGGAATCAATAATGGTTTACTGATGCCTGTTGACTGACAACAATCCCACCTACTGGCCGGAACAGGTACTGTTCATCAGCTAGCTATGAATGTGAGAGGGCTTTAAAACTGAAGTGAGCTGAAAGAACATGGTCTTAAAAGTTTTAAAAGGTGAACTACTTTTGTATAGATAAATTAATTGTTGTTGTTACTCTATCACCCATGCATACTTACTAAAGTGAAATAATTAATACAAATTCTTCAAAATTAGTACAAAAATAATATAGCATAATTATTTTTTATTTTTTAATAATAATTCAATTTAATTATTATATTGCATTGTTATGCATATTTATATTCACTTTCCTTACAATGATATTTGCAAATATTTTATATATCCATCCAGTTCTTGTTACATATGTTTGTTTTCTTTGTCCACAGGGCCGTTCTGCGTGCATGAGTGACTGTACATTAGCACTGCATCATAAAGGAGAGACCTTGCATTATGATTTCTCTCCGCTGGCAAACACCACAGGCTTCCAGAGCAGCCCACGCTTCACCAGTAAAGGGCTGCAATATAACCACCATTTCAGTGTGGCACTGTGTGGAACAGAAGTAAGAGAATAAATTAGACCAGATGAAGTTTTAAACTGTGAAGTCTGAGTAGTAAATAAAGTGTGTCTGTCTCTTATCTAGTACAGGGCTCTTGCATCCTGTGTGGAGAATGTCACTGAAAGCAAGAGGGTTGTAAAAGGCTACATCTGTCAGTTCACTGTAGTGCCTTCTGAGATCAGGGGTCAGAGCGTTGTGTCCTCTCAGCCCTTCAGTATTGGAGACACTTTAATTGGTGAGTGCTACCACTACTTTGAAATCGCTATCAAATAAACCCATCCTAGCTGGGCATAGGGATTCATCCGATGCTAAATGTTTTATACACAGGAGTGAGCACCGACCACAAATTTGATGACATCTCGTCATTGGACGGCAACTTTCCTGTTGAATCAGAGCTGCCGGATGTCATATTCTACTACAGGTGAGTACTTGCTTTCGGTGATATGTTCTCTCGTTATTCTAATGCTTTTATTGTGTTCACAGTAAACACAGTATTGTGTTTTCTTCAGATTGATCTGTAATGTTATGTTCTTCTCATTAACAGATCTAGAGAAACTACGCAAGCATGTAAAAATGGAAGATCCACCTCCATTAGGCTTCGATGTGATCCCACTGTAACACTGAAAGACCTTGTTTCCTTACCAAGGTACAAAATGAAAATGTTTACTTTTCACGTGTGATCAGTATAAAACCGAAATTGTGATTATGGTTTAGTGTGATTATCAAATTTAATTACATAAATATATATGCTGCGTGTTTCAGAGTGAAGTGTGCCACTGTGTTCTTGTACACATGGGCAACTCATAATCCAGTGTTTTTAGTGCCTCTGAGCGGCTTGGTTCTTGCTCCACATGAACTCATCTCTGCATGTGTTCTGAGTTTGGTACATTTGGGAATGCAATATGCAGCAACCGTCTTCTAAAGCTTGTAATTTGAAGCATTTTTTTAAACTGGCTGTTGCCAACAAAAGATAAGCTTTAAGTCCTGTAGTTTTCTGCTAAAATAAAAGCTTGATGGTGTCACATCTAATATTTGTTCAAGGGACTTTTATTTTGATTTTCATTTCACTCCTGTGTTCATACTTATACTTTATGTGTTTAGTACATGTTTTCTTTGTTGTCATGGTTTCTGATATGATTTTCATTTCTTTCTGTAGTTACCGATTATGTTTTAGTTTAGTTCTTCACTATCCTGTATAAAAATACTCCTTAGATTATTTTACAACGCTGTCACTTTTTAGTTTACATGGCGGATTATTCTTGTTCTCTTCATCGTCTTCTTGTTTGTTTAGTTATAGAGATTGCTGCACATAGATCCTCACCTCTACTCTAAACATGGTTAAATATTTAGATATTAAGAAATTAAGACAGCCAAAAATATAAAACATATTGTATTTTTACAGTTGTAATGTAAATAAAAAATAATTGATTTTATTTTTTTTTTACTGGAAATGTTTTAATAATAATAATAATATCTCTTAATTATTTGAATAATATTTTATTTAGTAAAAAATCATCATCATAATGAAAATTTTGACTAAATTGTGCTGCTTTGCAAACAAGAAATGTTTGAATTTTCCGTTCGAAAGAAAAAATTAAGATTAATAAAGACATTTGATTTGAATGTGTGAATATTGTATGAATTTGGACTGAACTTTAATAAGTATGTAATCCAACTCGGATGGAGGAATATCATTTTTTTTATTGCTTGCTTTGTTTCTGTCTGGTGTAGTAAGTGCTCAGAGGGCACCTGTGACGGCTGCTCCTTCCATTTCCTGTGGCGTTCCCAGCATGCCTGTCCTCTCTGCTCTGAGAGAAACTATAAGGAGATCGTGAGTGCTTGTATCCAAGGAATTCAGGTACATGTCAGCTTACATCCTTATACAGTAACTGAATTATAACAAGAATTTCTCTTTGCTCTGAAATGGACCATTTATTGTAGAACAGGGGTTCTCAATTCCAGTCCTCACGCCTCCCTATTCTGTACATTTTGCATGTCTCTGTGAGTGCGCTGCGAAGTGGACTTAAAAGGGCATTTCGCCATCTTAAGATCCTAAACAAAAGCAGGTGTCACGGGTGTAAATCAGATGCGACAGTTACAAGTCGATCATGGTGACGGGTTAAATAAGATAACACGACATTTAAGGCAATATATAAGGGTTAGTTCACCCAAAAATAAAACTTCTGTCAGTAATTACTCGCCTTCATGTTGTTCCAACCCCGTAAGCCTTTAGTTCATCTTCGGAACACAAATTAAGATATTTTGTATTAAATCTGAGCGCTGTCTCATTCCTCCATAGGCTTCTATGTAATTTCATCTTGCAGGTCCAGAAAGTTAGTAAAGACGTTGTTAAAATAGTCCATGTGACTACAGTGGCTCAACCTTACAGACGAGAATACTTTTTGTGTGCAAAAATAACAACTTTATTCAGCTATTCATTTTCTTCTGTGTGGGCCTCTGGCGTGAGTTCACGAGAGTGCCACGACGCATGCGCAAGAACTAAGAAGATCTCACAGTGCATTGTGGGATTTTTGGGTATTTTTGGGGGGATTATTTTGCAATTGAGACAGGACTTAAAATGGCAACTGCCTGGTCAGTGCCCTGACTACTGAACTTGGGAGCAGATTTAGACGCAGCCATACAAACTTCTGAGCGGACTGGAATTGGGAACCCCTGTTGTAGAACAATCCTGTATATTATGACTTAATGTAGCTCAAATGTGTTTGTGTTTCTCAGAGGACTACCTATGTGTGGCAGCAACCTCTGAGGTGCACAGGCGGGGTGTCGCTGCCATCTCAGCAGATTAGTGCCTGTGTGACACTGGACTTCTGGCTGAAATTTGGCGTCTCCATTGGAACTGTGGCTGCCGCATTGCTCATTACACTCATCTGCTACTTCTGGAAAAGGACACGCAAGTGAGAGTCCATTACTGAACGTGATATAGTTTATTATTTTTCAGAAAACGTATGGATATGCATATAAACATGGTGTAAAACACATATAGATGCACAGAAATATTGTCTGAAAATTATAACAAAAACTGTTACTTTAACATCCAATAGAGAAAGTGGAAAACTAAGCAGCCTACATGTGAATTTTAATTGGATCTAATGAAAATTTAAATGAAGATGGATGATGTATTGATGGAAAAGAGTCTACAAAGTATTGACTTTAAGTCACCATGAAATCAAAATTGAAGTAATCGAAGCCCTGTCTGTGAAACCAGGCCTATGACTTCCATGATGACACAATAATCTAACCATCCAATCAAGTTAGGCCATTTCACTTGGATATACAGTTGTAATCAAAATTATTCAACCCCCATTGCAGATATATATATATATATATATATATGAAACCCAGTGTGTCTAGAATTTTAGGTTTTGATCAAGAATTCATGATCTATCCACATGAATAGAGTATTCATGCCCTCTCTTTAGGCTGCAGTATAAGTACTCTAAGCTAATGATGACGGCAGGAGATAAGGAGTGTGAACTTCCAGCTGCAGATAGCTGTGCCATCATGGAAGGAGAAGATGCAGAGGATGACCTCATCTATCTCTCAAAAAAATCTTTCTTTACCAAGATCAAGTCATATTCCAGAGAGGTGAGGAGGTCGCAAGACAGACTTCATTTTTCTATGTAGCACACAGATATTCTTGGTGACACTATACATTTTTTAATTTTGTACATTTTACAATAATATTTAATAGTGTTAACAGACAGATAAAGACATTTTCTTAATAAAATGCTGTTCTTTTACAGAGAACGTCAGATGGGTTTGATTCTGTTCCTCTTAAATCATCAGCTGCCCAGGAGATGGAGATGAACTAGTACTTCTCAGACGCATGGAAAGCCAGCAGGAAATGTTTGGCCTGTCGTATGACGTCCTTGACACTATAGTGGACATTATAACATCAATACTGCTATTCCCAAAGAGACTGAGGGAAGCAAATGATTCAGAAACAAGTTTGCTCCCTTATACCGGTTGGTTTCTCCTAGATTTAGCAAATCCAGTCTATGCCGACCGAAGGCAAAATTGGCATGGGAATTGGGAAGTTTATTTTTATTTTTATGTGAGCTTTTTTTGTTTTCGTAATTTGCCTATAGGCCTACACACATTTTATACTAAACACAAATTATGTTTCACTACAAAGTTCGGGAGGAGCACGTTCAAATAATCAATCCAATGAACTTGTCATCAACAATCATCATGACTATCCCATCAGCATGAAAGGAAGCATATAAAGGCATTCAGTCGACTCACCTACATTCCTTGACAGTTTTTCCCTCCACCACCACGACACTCTCGGCTTGTTCCTTTCACAGCCAGGAATATGGGGGGAGTACTCTGGGTTTAGGCCAAATACCGAGCCTGGATCCCTCTCCTCTGACGGCACGCCAAATATGTATGCCATCTGACTTATTTGGTAATATTCACGTAATATTAGTCTGATTACGTGAAATGCTTGTGAAAGATAATGGTGGAAAATCCACATTGCATTAGTCACATGCCATTACATGCTACATGCCCATGGGTTACACTTTATTTTAAGTTATCCATGTTACAGTGATGTTACAATGTAGCTAATGACCTACATTTAAGTTTGTAGTAATGAAAATTAACTTGTAGCCTACTTAGGAAAAGGGACTGGTTTAGGGTTAGTTGCATGTAATTATTACTATAGCCTAGTAACTACATGTAACAAGGACACTGTAAAATGAAGTGTTAACCCATCCTGTTAAATATCAGATATGATATTTTTCTTTTCTTTTAGGTCAGTGATATGTTGTTTTCATGAATTTGAGAGCTAAACCTGCCTTACAAGTGGTTGCAAAATATTGAATTTTTCCATTTGTAAATCACTCGAATGTTTTGACATACCAGAATTTGTTGTGTGAACATTTTTTTGTTCTTTTTTTATATCGTTATTTGTATTTTAGGAAATGTCGTTGTCTAAGATAGTCTGTTATGTTTTTTTTAGTATATATAAAAGCCCACTTGATATTGAAAAGCTGCAGTGTCTATTGTTTATTATACACCAAAATTACAAAAACAACTATATCAGTATAGGGACAAAAATAAGTTCGTATCTATGGCACGAATGTCATTTCTCGTGGCATTTATACGCCAAAAGCAGTTTTTGCGTGTATTTGGCACGCGATTTTCGCGTACATATTATACGCACTTTTTTGCGTATAATACACACGAACTCCCCACCCCCCTCCCCCCTAAACCTAACCCAGGGTTTTTTAGTGCGTACCATATACACGAAAAAAACACTTTTGGCGTATAAATGCCACGAGAAATGACACTCATAGATACGCATCTTCATGAGACTGTGTTGCAATAAAAACGCGTGTGTCTAACAATCCCATTAAAACGAATATATTCAATAGTGACTTGACCGTTTCTATAGAAACGAATGTAAACAGAACGAATATGAGCCAGTGCACTGCAGGTCCAAAGTCATTTGATAGCTGCTAGTCGACTCGTCCGAGGAGCCAAAAGATGCCGAAAAAGAAAGGAAATAAGGGCAAAGGAAAAGGGTGAGAATGAACGATTTCAGGTGATTTAATACGCTTTTCCATATTGATATCTCACATTTTGTTTACACTTTATTTACAGAAAAGGTAAGAAAGAAGGCAAGCAGGAGTCTAAAGCCGACAGGGAGTCAGAAATCGAAAAGTTCAAATCGAACGCAACTTTATGGGAGGCGAAGTTTGACATCACAGAATTATCGCGTGTCGAATATCGCGAAGCTACTCGCGCGCTGGCCAAAGCCAACGAGGAGCTCGAGAACCAGCAGTACAGAGCCGAAAAAGACACGGATGATATTATTGCTTTCCTGAAAACAACAGATCGTGAAAAAACAGCAACGGTTTGTCTGCATTTATGTTTCATCTCCATCATAAGGCTGAGAAACGAGCATACGTTTATCCATCTGTGCTGTTCATTTCCCACTATTTTCCCTATAAGATTGCTGCATTAGAAGAGCAACTGAAAAAGGAAAAGACAACAACTTCACAAGAAAAAGACTTATTGGTAAGAGTTTATTATTTTACACACACAAATGTCAAGCATCCTGGAGCAATTCTTGAATTTCAGATTGCGCACGTACGTCTGCAAGTTGTCTGTTAAAGATCATTTCATCTGTAGGCTAAAGCATCTGCTATTTACTAACATCTGATAGACGTCTTTAAGATGTCAGTTTTACATACATTCTAAATCATAAACATCTTAAAGACATCTTCTAAACGTATTTGACATCTGACAGGAAACGTGAGACGTATTGCAGAGCAAACACTCTAAAATATATGTCTTCCAGATGTAAACACCCACATCAAATAGACGTCTCTGTGATTTATGCAGCCGCGGCGCTACCATTGGGCCTGGGTGGGCCTGGGCCCACCCATTTTAGGTCCGGGCCCGCCCATTTTGAGCCAGGCGGGTAACTCCTATTACCGTCTGCAGAGACCTCGCAGGCGTACGGATTTTCATTCTCAGTTCATCCAATAAGCAGCCAGAGGAAAACTTTGAGTGAAAGCTTCTAAACCAATCAGCAGCTTCTACCTCACGTGTGGACTCTTAAGCCTGCCCACAGGCTGCATCGTCACCAGCAAGTGATCCAATGAAATGAATGACGTTGGCGCGCAAGATTTTCAATGAGACAGAAACAGTCGGTAGCTATTAGCTAAAATGAAGCGTAATATGGAAAAGCAAAGCAGCTTGTTTTCATTTAAATTTAGCAATAAAAAAATAAAAAACGCTCCGAAGAGCAGGAGGAGGAAACTCCTGCCATTTTTAGTAACGCGGTTACTTCAATGAAGAGTTACCATCCTGCTCGGCCGCCCTCTCTGCATCAAGTCCTCCCGTAACCAACTTATAATTTTTTGCTCATGTGAATGTGACACTGTGACAGATCGGATGTGTTTGTGACCATGTAAACAGGAAAAAAAAACCGCATGCATTCGGCTATTTCGAGATCGGTTTCAGGCCTCATTCATATGTGGAAATAAATTGGAAATGAATCAGATGTCAATGCATTTAGAGTTAGACCACTTCTCCGCGGTTTAATGACGAGAGCCGACGCGCATCTGCAAAGGGATGGATTGCCCGACAAAACGCCGTAGAGAAAACGTGAATGTTTGTGGACAAACGTTGACGCATATAAACATATCAAAAAGGTTGGCTTGCTCTTCCTAAAATTTCGGACCCACTGCTCCTCGTTAAAGCCTATATTTAAACACAATATGCTTCCACCAGTCCTGAGATTTCTCTCGCACACAATAACTGAACTGAAGCGCATGCGGCCATGCGCAGGCAGCAATGATGGCACTTTTCGTCGTCCTCCTCCTCAAAATCATGGTAATGTTTGGAGAACTTCGCATAAATTGCAGATTTAGCATCAAGCATGTTTCACGTTCGTCCATCTGTAAAAAAGAGAATTTAACCCTTTAAGCTATAGGGTGACCAAACGTCCTGTTTTCCCAGGACATGTCCTGTTTTCACGTCTTGTCGTGGCTGTTTTTTATAAAGTGATGAAAATGTCCTGGTTTTAATTATTTTTCATTGGGCCATTTAAAAAGAAAAACATGAAAAAGAGGAAGAAGAAACCTAAATATATAAACAACTTTTGTTAGTTAGGTTTTTGTTAAGTTTGTGAGAGCTATTTTGGTTCAATTTGGAGGTAGGCTATTTTTTATTTTTATTTATTTATTTATTTCTAATACAGAAGAGACATTATTTCTATCATTATTTTTGAAACCTGTCATAATAAAACATGTTGAGTAGAGTATAACCTCTGAGAAGCCTATCTGAATTTGGTCTTATTTGGTTATAGATAGTATTTTGTAATGTAACCATTTATATCCGGAGGCATACCCTATTAAATTATTGAAATTAAGGCATCTTTGAGTAAACTTCGAGTATCATTTGAGTATCTCATTGCCGGGCCGATTGTCCTGGTTTTTGATAATCAAAATATGGTCACCCTTTAAGCAAGCGCGATGTTTTTAGATATGCAGTGTAAACACATGACTCGGATAAAGTTGAAAGAACGTGTAAACGGACGGTAAAAAAAAAAAAAAAATCGGAGAAATGTAACAAATTAGAATTGGGCATCAAGACCTGCAGAGTAATCGAGGCCTTTTTTTCAGAATAATAACAATTTAACTTTTTTTATTTAATCTAATTATAGGCATATTTTACCACTCTCCACGCCTCCCATGGCATGCTCTGGCTCCCCACTTTGGTTAGATATGTTGTTCATTTAATTATTTCATGTTGGTACAGTTCTTCTATCATTCTGAATAAATAAAAAAAAAAAACAGTTAAATAATTTTGTATCGTTTTCCTGTTGTTTTTGTTTAGCAGCTGTGTCAGATTCAGTGCTGCTGTTATTTCATGTCGATAAAGTTCTTCTGTCATTCTAACTTTATAAGAAACAGTTAAATAATTTTGGACAGTTCCCTGCCCGTAACTGAAGAGAGAAACAGAGACCCTCCAAAGATATAATTCCGTTTCAGTCTTTTTGTGTATTAAACATTCAAAAGAGATAAATCAAGTTATAGGCTTACTGAGTCGCTGTCCACAGTGCCGCAGAAAAGCGCTGAAACGGATATGAAGGGGATTTTTTTTTTTTTTTTTTTTTGCCTTACGGACGGGCCCATCCAGTTTTCTGAAGGCCCACCTACAATCAAAATCCTGGCGCCGCTAGTGGATTTATGTGTCAGTTTTTGCCCTTTTTTTTCTGAAATTCAACAGCTTCTCCTGAATTTCACCCCTTTTGCAGGTAGCTGAATACATGCAGAAGATTGATGCGTTAGAAGAGAGGTTTAAGCAGAGGTCTAGCGACTTCCAGAGGATGCAGGGCGAGCTCAAAACCATCAAGCATTTTCGCAAAGTAAAGGCCAATCTGGAAGAAGACCTGATCAGTGTAATGCACAACACAAACTGCCATTTCATATTGAAAGCAATGCATAAAAACCCTAGGCATATAGCATGTTGTGTGTTTCTTGTGCTTCTAGATGAGAGAAAAAATTTATATAGCTGACCGTGCACACCAAGAGAGTCTGGTGAGAACAGAGTACAAGTTCTACACAGCAAGGGTAAGAAAAAGCATCCATAATCCATCCATAAACAAGACAAGGAAATATTTTGCATAAATTATAGCAAAGTGCATTTAATTACCGTCAGATTTAAATCCTTTTGTTATAGAGTTTTAGATGCTTTTGCCACTAAATTGCACACTAGAACGGTCAGCAATGTCTTTTTATACAGATTCACCTTGAGAAGGAAGCAGAGCAGAAGATCACTGAGCTTGCAGAGCGAGCGCATCATGAAGCTATTGTGTGAGCAGCCATTCTTCTTTTAATTGCAAGAATGGATCAGTAACTCATTATCTTAATTTTGTTTAAAGACTGCCTATAGCACATACGTGTATGATTTGTGTTTACGGGTGTATAGAATCAAATGATCAGTTTTGGCTCCCAACAGGCAGCTCGGAACAGCATCACATACTGTGGTGAAGGAGAACGTACGATTGAATGAGGCACTGCATTATCATGTGAAAGAGGCGGAGGAACTGAAAAGGATAAATGTAGCCTTGACAGAGAAGAATGCTTCCCTTGCTCTATTGAAGGTGATAATGAGATATATGATATGATATGCTATTTTCCATTGTTTTCAGGACATTGCATATGTCCAGTGATGACTCTACAACTGATTGATTCTGCAGGAGACGAATGAACTGATGAGAAAGGAAGGAAATTCCCAGTTAAAATCCCAACAAAATGAGAGCTCTGAGCTAAGGGCTAAATTGGTCACACTTGAGCAAGCTCTGGGCATCATGTCTGGGGAGTTTGAGCTGGAGAGAGAAGAGCTGGAGCGGCGTGCCATGGTCAGCGCACAGGCCAACAGCACAGACCTTGAGAGGTTGGAAATGCTTCTTGCTGTTCGAGAGAAGGAGCTGGGCCAAGTGAAACAGCTGGCGCAAAGCATCATGGAGCAGCGTAAAGAACTCGAGCTCTTCTTTCACGAAGCTCTTGACCATGTGAGGAAGGAAATAAGAACACAACAACAGCACTACAGGTTAGCTTAAGTTGTGAAAAGTGAAATATTCTCAATAGGGGATTGTGGAAGTGATTTCCGTATTTGAAGATGATCTTGTATGTATAGACAGGAGGCTCTGAAGGCCTATCGCTGGAGAATGAATGAGGCACGGGCTGGAAGATTGGTGTACCCTCGTATACAGACCTTCTCTAATGCCCCACACAGCACCAATGATGTCCTGGCTGACCTGGAAGAGGCTGACAAATGGTGTGAGAGTTTTAGGACAGAATTTCTAACCACTCTTCAGGTGCATCTCTAATCAAGATGACAAATGAAAATGCTATGGTGTCATTTCAGGAGCAACTTGAAAAGCTCCAGTGTGGATATTTCAGATCTAACATGGGAGCAGAAAGAGAGACTGCTCAATCTGCTTTTTGCTAAATTGAACGGACGAAAAATAAGGTAGATTTATAATTATTACAAATAATAATTTGTTATACTAATTGTACAATTTTACTTCAGACATACTTTAAGTTTTTTTGTGTGTATAGAATTTAAAACTTCAAATTAATGAAATCATTCATCAAGTTAAATAAATGAAATCAAGTTATTTTTTTGTAGCGTTAATATACATGGAATTCAGTATTTATTTTAAATGTATTGTTCAATAAAATATTGCTTTTCATTTGTATTTTTTATGATTTGTACTTTATTGATTTTCTTATTTGCAAACAAAACAAGAAATTGTATAAAGAATTTGACATAACCAAACCACTAAATCAAAAACGCACACAAAACAAAACAGTTAGGCCTAATCATACCAATTGAATTTAATTGTACCAATATAAATAATAAGTGAATATCTAAATCAATAAAAACAAAACAACAACAATAAAGAAAAAAAAGGGGTGTTAAGTTCCCATCATATTTGCCATTACCATTTTTTTTTTTTCATCTCAACACATGCCACTAATACTGCGGGTACAGAAATGTATTTTTTCCCCCATTTATCAAAATAAATGTCAATCCCCTTGTGCAGACTAGGAGAGTTTCTCAAGGGCTTCATTTGTATTTTTCTATTAAATATTAAAATGACAAACAGAGAAAGTCACTGAATGCACACTGGGTCTGAATGAATTAAAAGGGATTTGGATATTACATTTTGTTCTGTAGGCTAAAATACATTTTCTTGAAATGACAGTACTAAATAAACATTCTTTCTTTTAGATCTTTAGCACTGCCATGCTGTCAACCTATGTAATTGCAACTTGATTTCAGATTTAAATGATCTTAGGCCTGGATTTCTTTGCATTTCACAAGTTCCTTTTGAGGCAGTTCTGGGTCCCAAATGCTCATTTCAGCAGTGTCCTGGGATATGTTGCGACAGACAACAGTGCTATGTGGCTTTCATGGGTCTCTCTACAATTAAAAATATTTTTCTTGTTTTTCTTTATACCATCTGACAGGAAACCAGCCCATCCTCCTGCTCTATCAACATCTTCCTCAGTGAAGATTCAGGTTAGAAGTAATGCAGGGTAAGGGTCCAATACTTGACAAATGTTTTGTGTGTGTGTGTGTGTGTGTGTGTGTGTGTGTGTGTGTGAAGAATAATTATACTGCTATTTTGTCATTTAATATGTTCCTATTCAAAATTTAAATCTAACAATGTTTTCTTTACAGGTTTACAGACGGGAAACACAGTCTGACCTTTATAACCCAGATGCCAAAGGCAAATACCTCTGAACCATGTGTCCTACCAGCCCTCAAGAGCACATGACTGAATATTTCATACAGAATTATTCAATTATTTCCTTTACAAAATACAGGATAAATGTCAACTCAACACTATTAAGTCTTCAAGTAGTGGTCTTCTCAATGCCCCAAGCTTCAGACTCTTTTCCATGGGTGACAGGCATTTCAGAGTAATAAAATTCCCTGTTGTAAAATCTCCATAATGTCACAAACATCTTAGATTTATTTTGTTATTGTTCTATTACGTTAAGTATTCAGTGTTCATTTATGGTCCCTATTTAAAATAGTTTCTATCAAGTTTCTATATTATTAGTTTTCTTATTGTTTTCTTTGTCCTTGTACAGTGACATGAGTGAATGAAAGATATAAATGTAGAACGTTTTGATGTAAAATTAAAATAATTATCCCATAAAAAATAATATGGTCTGTATTTGTTTATTATATTTTACACCTGCTTCTGTAATGGACATCTTTATGTTCTCTCTAATGTTATTGTGCATTGTAAAGTTCAAACCACCTAAAACTTTTTAGTGTGGGAACAATATCGTATTCAGATATTTGCATTAAACATCATGTCTCTTTTAGTTTGTGTTCTACATATGCTAGGTCTACAACCTCCTGTATACGTGTGAATGCATTGCAGGGGGCGCGCTTGGGAACTCGGTTTGCTTTTTTACTGCGTCTTTCATTTTTAGCAGCAGGGAGAGAGAGAGGCGCAGACGGGATAGCGCTCGAAACCACCGTGACCCCGGAACCGAGCAACTTCCGAACAGTCACACATTCCAGGAGCATTTGGAGTCGCTGGAATGAAATAAACAACGGGGCGGTTCGTTCCTGAGTATCCGCGTGCACGATCGACTTTATCGGGTGGTTAGGTTACTTTCCATTTTTGATTGTTGCAGGAAAACTCCACCACCTCGAATCACAGGCAAGCAAGCCAGGGAAGCAGAAGTATCTAGTCGTCTCCCGGGTGCTCGTTCTGCAGGCATGTCGCAGAAAGAAAGACCCACTTTCTATCGACAGGAGGTCAACAAGACGATATGGGAAGTCCCTTTGCGATATCAGAACTTGTCTCCCGTCGGCTCTGGTGCATACGGAACTGTTTGGTAAATATCTATCTGTTGTTTCTATGGCGGAACGATGTGTCCCATTCATTCTTACGGGCCCGTGCAGCATTGCTCTGCGTTAGCAAAACTTGCTAATAAGACCAAAGTCCGCGCTTTGTTATGCTAGAGGGATTGCTAGTCATAAAATGCGGGTTTAAAGTTCTTGTAGTGTTGCAAAGTGTTCTAACTTGGGTGATTACGCTTTATAAACATTTAAAGTCTCGTGTGTTGCAAATGCCACCTCGCGTGCACGCACGCATGCCACTTCAGTTTCAGAGTGAAGCTTGCGGGCAAACATGCACAATAATGTGGTACGTTAAAATGGTTGCAAGTCGAAGAAATGAACTCGATAAAAGTTGTTTAAACCTGGTAAACTGGTAATTCTTCAATATATAGAAACACGCTTTCTTTATTCACCCTATTTAGTGGACGGTGTAGGGTCTTAATGAGGACATCTGGTGGGGTCTGTCCTGAATGAGGTCACCCCATGACTAAGTCTGTGTCTTAACCAAGGGAGCAGCCGCTTTTGGGTACCTTGATGTTAGGTAACTCGATAGGTTTTGATACGCAACCGATGAGTCAGAGCTGCGTGTAATTTCACGACTGTTGTTCGTGATTCATGGCACTTAATTTTCTCGTTTGCTTGTAGTAACACCCAGGATGAGACAGAAAACCTCATAGGTCTTGTCGTATGTTATTATCTTAATCTCGTGATTGATTCATCTAGATTGCTCGGTTGATTTGTTCAGTTGCGATTAGGAAGTTTGTAGGTTGTTCTGTACTTGTTTCCTGATACCTTAATGTATGATTCACTTAAAGGTGCGCTCAGTAATTTGTATTAACAAAGCATTATAGGCAAATAAATAAATCAAAATAAAGAAGTGTGAAGTCCGCACACTGAAAAGGTAACTTACTGCTCCAAAAATGTATTAAAAAGCAACGTTTCGACCCTCAGGTCTTCATCAGGCACCAGACTTCACACTTCTTTATTTTTTTATGAGCCCAATTTGGGTGTGGATGTGCACACCTGTTTTGTATATTTTTTGACTCTTCAAATAAATAAATCAACCACACTTTTGAGAAATAAAATTCAAAATTAAATTTTACACGTGAATAAGGTGTTGACGCATTCACGATTTATGTCATTTTGAATGCTGTGTAGAGCCATGTTGACATCACATGACTAATAAAACATATTATTGAGTTGCACAAGAGTGAGCTAAACATAAAAACCTACAGCTTGCACATTTAAAGGGATAGTTTACCCAAAAATATAAATTCTGTCATTATTCACTCTCATTTTGTTCTAAACCTGTATGAATGTCTTTCTTGTGCTGTACACAAAAGTAGATATTTTGAAGAATGTAGGTAACCATACAGTTTCTCTGGTCTCCATTGACTTCCATGGTGTTTCTGTTTTACTTTTTTTCTCTATACTATGGAATTCACTGTGGACCAGCAGCTGTTTGGTTACCCACATTATTCAAAATATCTTTTTTCTGTGTTCAACAGAAGAAAGAGGTTTAGAACAACTTGAGGGTGAGTACACAATGGCATCATTTTCTTTTTTGGGTGAACTGTCTATCCCTATAAGGCTAAACTTTGTTATTTCTGCAGCATGGAGAGCCACCAAATGGAATTTAACAAAATGATTGTTTTCAAACAGGTTTCCCAAACACACTGCAATTATTTGATTGGGCTATTGGTAGAGACAAAGTTGTGGCCCCAGAGGCCTGTTGCATGAAGCTGAACAAACTAAGAGTAGGTTTACAGTTGACAAATCCATATAAATCTAACCTGGTTTAGATCAGGTTCAACAGTCTCACAAAGCTCAGTATAAACTTTCTCAGCCAATGCAGGTTTAATCCAGAGTTTTCGATTAATTCAGAAGCGCACACACCTGAAAGTGTGTTATGTGCAACTAATATCCAATCACACGGAACATGGAGAGTGTCAGTTTGATTCACCTCTCGTGAGAGAGCGCACAATTCACTGAAGATTAAGAGATCATTATGACAAAAGTATCATGAAATTAAATTAATTTACATGTCAGGAAAAAAACACAACACAAAAAAAACAACAAAAGTTTGAGAAGGCAGCGTAAAGAAAAATTCTGACTATATCAATGCATGTAAATCAAACTAATAGCTTAATCTGTTTTAAAGCTTTATATATGAATGCATGTATTATTTATTTTAATATAAAGAAGGTTAGTCGTGTAGCATAAGGTACCAAACCAATGAAACCTGCTAAAAACCAATCCATCTTCTTGAGCCCAAAAAAACAAAGTTTGTTCAAACTAATATTGAACTTACATGGGTAGAAACTGAAACCGGCTTTGTGCAACAGGCCACAGGTGCTCAAACAAACTGACACACTGTTTTTAGGAAAATCAACATAAAAACTTGTGTCTACTTGTAGTTGACTTTGCATATTAATGTGGAATTAGATAAAAAAAGACTTTGCCAAAAAATGCTAATTTCATCTTAAATTGTTGTGATCGGAAACATGCTGATTATGACGGTATGTTTTACTGAGGAAATGCGATCTTGTTTTATCTAGTCATATTTGTGCACATCTAAAGAGTTCTTTTGTTTCTTTCTTCCTTAAACTCAAAAACAAGTGTTACCTCACTCTTTAATGTTTGCAAATGATTTTCAGAAAGGTCTCTGACTGTCTCTTAGACAGACAGGTGTTTGAAGGCCAGGCTCATTTTCTAAATTACTTCTCCTCAGTGTAGACAGGTTGTTTATGCACCCAAGTGACTGTTAGAAATTACGATGCTAGGCAACCGTGCTATCTAGATTATGTTTCATGGGCTTCCTTATTGTGTCTGTGTAATTGAATATCTGATGAACAGATTGCACTGGGTTTGAAGTGCCAGGCTCATCTCTCAGCCTGTGCAGTGTATTCGAAAAAGCGGAGTCAAGAGATTTCAATCAGGTCTCTCAGTCAAGTTGTGCATATAAAAATATCCTTTGTGTCTTGAAAGGTTGCGTCATTACATTCACTGTTACGTCTACTACATAGCACGTGGTGGTCAGTCTCTGTGATTAAACACTAAACAGTTCTGTCCTTTTAAAGTTATTTTATGATTGGTTAAAATAGATATGTTTTACCCTTTAGTTCTGTCTGTAAACATCTGGGTTTTTTTAAAATAAGGAAGTGAAAGGCTGACCAGCTTTTGTTTCAGTCTAAAATGGATGGCAAGTTAATTCAATGCTGACTCTTACTTCCAACCGTCTTTAACTTTGGTCCTGTTGTAGCATGTTGGCGTTTCAGTTGTGCAACAAAGAGTAATGGCATGCTTGAATCATGTTGTTCTGTTTTTCTCAGTTCTGCATATGATGAAAAGTCCGGATTGAAGGTCGCCGTGAAGAAACTGTCAAGGCCATTTCAGTCCATCATCCATGCCAAGCGGACCTACAGGGAATTGCGGCTACTCAAGCATATGAAACATGAGAATGTGAGTTTGGATCCCTGGTATTATCAAACTGACAAGGCCAATATGCAGAGTAACGGTTGGTAATCCTAATGGTTAAAGGCTAAGTTCATCCAAATGTTAAAAATTTTGTCATTATTTACTCACCCTCATTTTGTTCCAACCATCGTTAAAAGATCGCAAACTCAATTCAAACACCCAGACAATCTTATTCCTGAATGACAGAGGTTAGACTAGAAGTCTATTTGACAAGTACAATCACAGCGAGCATTCAGATCTGCCGCTGAGCCAAAGAGAGCAGTTGTCATCTATAAGTTATGAAACAGCTTCACAGTATAATTATTTCAATTTTACCACAGAAGTACTGGACATTTTGTCAGAACCTCTAGTACGGTGGTTCTCAAACTTTTTCAATTCTGAAATTGACAGCAGCCTAATATACCTGCTGCCGTCTGTCATTAATGTTAATCAAACATCTCTCTCTCTCTGCTCTTGACTGAATAATTTTTGTAACTTTAAGAATAAATGTATATTTAATTTACACAGTAAAGAAAACTATGCTGTGCTTTTTTAATAGATTCGATTACTTTTTTCAGATAGGTCTGTTTTATTTGTGTCTTAGTTCTATTGTCGTTTGATTTCCTATATGCTTGTAATTAGTTTCTTATTTTATCACTAATTGTTTACTAGTCTTTAGCAAGCTTGAGAGGTTAATTTTTTATTTTGTTAGGTTATTAGCTTTTTGTGATATTGAATATCTCAAAAAGCTAATAGCCTAACAAAATAACAAAATAAAAGTGTTTTGTTAGGCTAACCCCCCACCCCCCCCCACCCCCCTAGAACTCTAGAACTTCCTCTGTGGTAATTATAGATTTACCTGTCAGGTTATGCAATACTGTACATGCAGTCCTAAATGATCCTGATTTGTATTCTTTGCACTTTGTGCTTGTAGGTGATTGGCCTGCTGGATGTTTTCACACCTGCCACCTCCCTGGAGGAGTTTAATGATGTGTAAGTCAGACAATTTCTTCCTCTGAGATGTTATATACTAGACTGGCTCTACCCTCCTACGTACTTCCGCTCAATTTTCATTTTCCTTCCAGGGATACTTCACCTCTAGAAAGATGAAAGTGTATTTAATGTGAGAAACAAGAAATTGTGAAATTATTTTTGAATTTAGAGCTTTCTAGACTGAGAAAAGCCAGAAAATGTATTTTTGGCTTATGTCAGTGTTTCTCAAACTTTTTCAGCCCAAGGACCAATTCCTCCACTTCTCACGAAATACATGATAGTAAGTGGCTGGTGAACTGGGAGAAGAATAGGGTCAAATGTAAAGCTACTTACACAATGTGTATCTGATATGAATAAAACGTGTTGTTGTCTTATTATAACTGAAAAGATTATTGCCGCTTCCATAGACATCAGTGTGTATTTTACAAACTCAAAATCATTGTTTTGCTAGTACGTATGTATATTTAAATGTCTGAAACCTAAAATAAACATTGAAAACACTCAATAGTTGTGTTATATGACAGCTCTGAGTGCGTCCGTCTCTGGCTTAGCGCCAGCCAGCGCGCGAGAGCAAGTTAGACTTTAGCAGTTATTGACGTGAAGCACTGAACATTCTAATCACACCGGTGTGATCGTATGCTCCAGGGATCAGCCAAGAAGACTGATCACACTGGTACGTGCGAAAAAGTGACGATTTTGTAAACACTTGCCTAGTTTAGGTCATCTTTTCGCGGACCACTAGGGGGCGATGGCGGACCACACTTTGAGAATTACTGGCTTATGTGGATGAAAGACAACAACTCCCAGAATGCACTTGCTTCGCTGCCCTAGCAGGCCACGCCTACCGGTAACAGAGCGCAGTAGTAAAACAACAAGTCTAGGCTACTAGTGAGTCTCCGTGATGAGTCTGCCCGAAAATGTGTTTCGAGATCGCCCAACATGTTCAGGATTCGGCTTTTGCGTTCTGCAGTCGCCATTCATTGTTTACTGTGGCGAGAAGGACGAGGCTAGGGCCTGTGAAACGCACCGGTCTCATATCTCTCACGGAGAAATGGGAATTTTTGGGGGGCAACGAAGGGATGCACCCTACAAAACACACATCAACAATCACTTGTTTAGCTTTCATGTAAACACCATATTCAGATTCACCAATCGGAATAAATTCAGTTAGATTGAAACAAAAGGTGTGCATGTGAACAATGAATGGTGACTACAGACAGCAAAATCTGAATCCCGGACATCGATGGCCGGACATGTCCACAGAACAAGAGCCTGCTAGCTTAGCTTCCAAAAAAAGATGGCTGACACTATGTGTACATTCTGTGAGTGAGATCCCACCCTATGTGGGGGCGTTGAGAACGTGCAGGACAGCCCCTACTACTGACTGTTGTCTTTAGCCTTTGAGGGTGGAAGACATGGTAATTCGAAAATACTACAGGTTTTCTACGAATACAAAGCTTAATGCAAAATCCTGAAGTATCCCTTTCAGTACTACATCTGGGATTGTGGTGTATTTTTTGGTTTTTACCGGTCCAATCAGCTAACAAAGGGAGTGGCTAAGGACGATGACGTTGATGTCGTGCGCTAGTTTGATTGGTTTGAGTCGTCATACATCACGACCAAATGTCAGCGATTGTTTATGGTAGATCCAGAGTGGCTCTGGGCAGATCCAATAGTTTTAAACTTCAACAGAGTACCCGCGTTCAAGGAAGTTAACACTTGTCAATGGAGCGAGGCCAGACTTTCTGTACAAATGTATATAAAATGTACGTGAGTCTGCTGGCACCAGGCTAGTTATTGACTGGTTTGATTAAAATCTCTCTCACTCTCACTCTCTCTCATATATATATATATATATATAAATGACAGTAAAGAAGACATTTATAATGTTAAATGTTAAGCGGCACTGCTGTTTTCAACATTGATAATAATAAGAAATGTTTCTTGAGCAGCAAATCAACATTTTATCAAGGATCATGTGAGACTGAAGACTAGAATAATGATGCTGAAAATTCAGCTTTGCCATCACAGTATAAAATTACATTTTAAAATATATTAAAACAGACAACTTTGCTTTTAAATTGTAATAGTATTTAACAAAATGTCTTTTTTTACTGCATTTTTCATCATATATATATATATTTATATATTAGTTCTTTTTTTAATATATATAATAAGCTGTGACATGTTCTTTTGTACGGCTTTATTACAATCACTCCTGTGTGTTTAGTCCTAATAACTCATACACTAAACAGAATAATGCATTATTTGTCTTGTGCTCTTTGTTAGATGATTATAAATGGACTGCATTTATATAGTGCTTTCACAGACCCAGTGGCCACCAAAGCGCTTTACATTTTGCCTCACATTCACCCATTCACTCACTCATTCATTATAAGCATTTTTTCAGGCTCTCATGGTTTTATGGAGCCTCGGGTCCGCAGTCAGAGCTTTTTGTGCTGCCTGGCTCCAGGTTTACAGCCGTAGGTTAGTAGGCAATGCTAAGGATACAGCCAGGTTGTAAAAGCAGATGCTGCTGTGACTTAACATCAATTCTGCTGCCAAAAATAAACATGACGCACACTGATACATGAAGGGCATCCGCACTCTACTGAAACCAGCAGAAATGTTTGTGTGGCGACTTAACTCCAGAGCTCCAGGCTCTTCCAATAAATATATAAATTCTCAGTTGACCATGTGTAAATGTGTGGTGTCTGAATCAGTTTGCTTTAGCTTTTCATTGCCTGTATGTTGAAGTGATTTTCATTTGTTTATTGTCTCTAATCTGTGTTTTTTTCCCCCTAAATCTTTGTGGGGGTGGGATGTATTTGTTGATTTATCTCGAATGCTGAATGTGTCTATTGGGCGGAGAGTGTTTCTGGGATTAAGTATGGCTTATTTTAAGCTCTGCTGTGTGTTGTATCACAGTGGCTCTGTTTGACTGGTAGCTCCACCCTCTTGCTAAGAGTCAGTGCTTATGTAGACTTTGCTGTGGGTTATCGTGAGGTGTTTGTGTGATAGGTTGAAGACTGCAATACAATCTGATGTCAGTGTGTCTGAATATACTGTGAGAGCCCAGTCAGGTTCAGTGGTCAAGGCAATTAACCATATCATCCTATTTTTTTTTCTTCAGTTCTACCCAGTTCTACATATGTGACCTCTTGAGTTTGACAGTCCTTAAGTACAAATTTGTATAATTTGTAATTTTATTTATACTACTGTTCAAAAGTTTAAAAAGATTTTTTTAAGCCAGGCTGCATTTATTCAATTAAAAATAAAGTAATAACAATAATATAGAAAACAGTTGTGCTGCTTAATAGTTTTGTATTCTATCAAAGAAAAAAATTGTTTCCACAAAAGTAGAATAATCTATTTGATGAATAGAAAGTTCAAAAGAAAAAGAATTTATTTAAATAAGTGGAATAAATACAATGTAAAAGATATTAAACTGCTTAGTAGTTGTTGCATTATTGACCTGTTGAAGATTCTATGAATGCCCAAAAATAAGTCAAGGTTTATGAATTCACTATCGTAAGGAAAAACATATTGTGAAATATTACTTGTATATGATTGTATATCAGCACAACCTTAGTTTATATTTCTCTGTAGTTTCCTGTTTACTCTCTCACTGCCCCAACCGTAAACCTTAAAATATGTGGAAGCAGCTACCACAGTATATTTACAGGACAACTGATCCAGTGGAACATCTAAATGTTGGGCAGTCACTCCTTACACAAGGTTAAATACAGTTGGCAGGTGAATAACATTCTTATTGTGTTCTGATTTGCAGGTACCTGGTGACTCATCTTATGGGCGCTGACCTAAATAATATTGTGAAGTGTCAGAAGCTGACCGATGATCATGTTCAGTTCCTTATTTACCAGATCCTGCGAGGGCTTAAGGTGAAATTGCACTTTCCCATCCCGTAATGAATACAAACCGGAATATCAGTTCTTAAAGCTGATGTAAATTCAATAACAATGAGCTGAAAAGTATTATGTCTTGCACACTGTTTTAAATAGTATCTAGACATTTATTTGACCAAGTTTTAGTGTAAACCTTACAGCTGGAATTTTATTATCTCACATAACTTTTTTTCTCTCTCTATTTTTCTTTTAATTTTACAAGTACATCCATTCGGCCGACATAATTCACAGGGTAAGTGCTCACTCGGTGCGTATATGAGAAATAACCATGTTACATACTCAGGTCTGCTTTTGTGTAAAGATTAAAACTAGAAATTGATATAAATTAGTCTAGTCTTAAAGAAATAGTCTGTGTTATTTTCAGCTTGATATGTGTGTACAGCATCTTTTCCATGCTGTTGATTACCACAGAAAATAATCATGACTTATTCCTACTTTAGTAATAAAGAATACATTTTTTATGAAGTTTATTTACTTTGAAAAATAGCCCAAATTGAAAAGATTTTGACTTCGTTACAGCTCAAAAAACTTTTGTTTTTTATTGAATTCAGGATTAAATTTTATTAAGTCATATTGCTTTAATAAAAATAGTTAGTTTTTGTTTGTATGAACTTGGTGACAAGTTGAATTGAAATGCCAAAAGATGTCACATCTGTAAATTGAATTCATTAATAGCTGCAAATATTCATTTTAATTGGTATAATGAGACAGTGAACTAATATCCAATAATCATTTGCTAGGACTTGAAACCCAGTAATCTGGCAGTAAATGAAGACTGTGAACTTAAGGTTAGTCTGTCATATTTTTTTCATAGTTGTTATACATTTGCTTGTAATACTTTAATTGTTATTAACAGGAGGGATGTATTTTCTTTTTTTTTTGTTTTGTCTCAGATCCTTGATTTTGGCCTGGCTAGACACACAGATGATGAGATGACAGGGTATGTGGCCACAAGGTGGTACCGCGCCCCAGAGATCATGCTTAACTGGATGCACTACAACATGACAGGTAACACAACTACACCCAGGCTTTTTAGAACCAGTTGGTGTACTCTACCGTTCAAAAGTCGGAAATGTTTTTAAAAGAAGGCTCACCAAGGCTGTATTTATTTGATCAAAATACAGTAACATTTTTAAATTGTAATAATATTTTACAAAATATAGCAGTTTTCTGTTTTCATATAAGTATAATTTATACCTGTGATGGCAAAGCTGATTAACTCCAGCCTTCAGTGTCACATGATCCTTCAGAAATCATTCTAATATGCTGATTTAGTGCTCAAGAAACATTTCTTATTATTATCAATGTTGAAAACAGTATCTGCTTAAATGTGACGCATTATGCCCATTTTCACAAGATGTAATAAAAATCTAAAATTTTAGCTCAAAATACCCCCCAGATCATTTATTATAGCTTGTCAAATGTGCCCCTTTTTGGGTGTGTGCAACAGCGCTCCATTTTTGTGTGTCCCCGTCCAGAAGACGGCCAATCCGGACCGTTACGCGAGCTTCGGATACTCTCCGGCAATAACAAAACGTGCGAATTTCACTCATCCTAAATTTCAAAGATAACCTGTAGCGTAGCATAGCGCAACCTTACAGAGACTCTGGACTGAGGTTGCAACTTTTAGACTGCACCTGGACGTTTCTGAATGGTTAGTGGATACGTTTATGCAGTTGTTGTGGAGTTACATTGATTAATCTCATTGACTTTTACACATTTTTGTTTGCAAAACCATTGCCATTTTTGCCATTGCGTTAGAACTGGTTACACTATTGTCATTTGCGAAAACCAAATGGCGGAAATGTGGGTGGAAATGTGCATAAGGGGTGGTAATATTATAATAGGACTATTATAAAAAAAACAAAATGTCTGCCACTTTAGATCAGTTTAATGCATCCTTCATTCTTAAAAAGAAAGGTTCCTTGTTGGCAAATGCATTGGCATTGACATCCATAAATCTTTTCCATTGGACAGGTTATTTACAGTGGAACAAGTTTCTTCAGATTTTTTAAATGTTCTTCATACTATGAAAAAAAAGGTTCTTCTAAAACACCATTTTACACAAGTTTGTTATGTTCTGACCCCAAACTTTTAAACAGTAATGTAGACTACTCCCAGAACAAGCTAACTGACCCACGTTAACCAACCAGATCTAGATTGTCGCAGTTGATCTATTTTTTCCCCTCCCTCTGTGACAAGAGAGCTGGGTCAGGACACAAGAGTGGGGACATGTGCTTGCTGCCTCTCTACTAATGTTGTTTCTTGATTTCTTTTCAGTGGACATTTGGTCAGTGGGCTGCATCATGGCTGAGCTGTTAACGGGAAGGACTCTGTTCCCTGGCACAGACCGTATCCTTTTCCTCTGGTTTACCCCTCATTGACTTTCAAAACGCTCTCTGTAAATTGAACCACGGCTCAAAGCCAAAAACGTCCCTGATTTATAGTGTTTTTTAAGAGCGTGTTTTGCTCTCATACTGATTTAAACAATCTTATTTTCTCTCTGTCGTTCTCTGTATTCCTGTCCTTGCAGTGTGTATGTGTGCTACGGCAGAAGCTGGCAGATCTGTCTGCCTCTTCTGTCTTACACTGACCTTTTGTCCCTTTCACTTAAGCTCTGTTTTCAAGCTGTGCCCCAAGACTCAACAGTGATTTGAAGGATATATGATCCATCATTATGAGAATGCCATAAACTCCCTGCAGGAAATGACATGCCTCTCTCTTTCTCGCTCTTTTTTTATTTCCAATGACAAATGTTGTCCACATTTCTGCTCTTTCAGCATGTTCTCCCCCTGGCTTTGCATATTTTACACTCTCATATCTTGAACGGCTGCCACTCTTAATGCTTCTGGTTCCACACCCCATGGACCAGAAATACTTGCCAAATATTTTCCCCCTCTTACAGGCAGAGCACACCTGTGCGGCTACTTCTGTCATGCTTTTGCTGGGCAAGCTGAAAATATTCAACCTGTGCTATTTTTACAAGCTCGATCGTCTTTCCACAGATGTGACCAAGGCTTCTTTGCTTTCCTGTTGTTTAAGTACACATGAAACCGAAATCAGCGTTTCCTGCTTGGTGGCGTGGTCCATGTTGAGCCACACTAGTTTTCCTTCATCTTGTTTTACTAGACATCGACCAGTTGAAGCTTATTATGCTTCTGGTTGGAACTCCAGGACCTGAGCTGTTAATGAAAATATCATCGGAGTCTGTGAGTTTAATATATTTAGGGAGAGAGCACTTGCTGAAAACGCCTGTGTGTGTTAATAAAAAAAGTGGAAAATCCAATTTTCAAAGTTTTGAAATAGCATTTTGTCTGGTCCTGGCTGGACACTAACGGTCGAAAGTTTGGGGTCGGTACAATTTTTAAATGTAAGTCTATTATGCTCACCAAGGCTGCATTTGTTCAAACAAAATACAGTGATATTGTGAAGTATTATTAAAACTTGTTAAAGTATTATTAAAAGTATTATTTTTGTGCTGCTCAATATTTTTGATGAAATCGCAATGCATTTTGTATTTCAGAATTCTTTGTTAAAAAAGTTTTAAATACATTTTTTGTAGTACTATGAATATCTTTACTGTCACTTGTGTTCAATTTAATGAATTCTCGCTGAACAAATGTGCTAATGTCTTTGAAAAAAGACCAAACGTTTTAATAAACAGTTACTGGTCTTTAACTGGTTCAAACTGGGAGTCCATCTTGGCCCAGTGATGGTCAAACTATCTTAAATTGATCAGGCTAGTTTTTGGAAAACGTTGGCTGGTTGACCAGCTAACGATCTGCTTGGACCAGTCTAAGCTGGATTTTCTAACAAGGAATGTGTGTTGAGTGCGGCTGTTTTTGACTGCTAATAAAAGTATTTTTCCAGTGCTCTCCTGCTAAACATTGACTTCACTTTTAGATGAAGATCCGAGGTTCTTTGTGTGACTGAATCTTGACATCTAAACTGAAATTAACAAGTCTTTTTTTGTCTTCCAGATCTGCTAATGGCAGCTATATTTCTGAGCAGATTCTAATACACTTATCAAGCTCTCTGGCTATCTAATGCATGACGTTTCTCCTCTGCTGTAAATGAATGCACTTTGCATGCCAAACTTTTCTTCTTTCTTTCTTTTTTATCCTGTCCTTTTCCCTAGAGTAGTGGAGAACCAGACTATATTGTCCAGATCATTTTTTTTTTTATAGATATGCATTAAACTAAATTTGTGGACCGTGACCTCCTTGACCTGGCCTTCAAAGATATAAACCAGCTTCAACAGATAATGCGACTTACAGGAACTCCACCTGCCTCTCTAATAAGCAGGATGCCTAGCCATGAGGTGAGCTCTCTGTGGCCCAGCCCCCCTGTTTGTAGAATACCCATCATGCCCTTTAATTAGCAGGCCTAATGAGGTCTCACATTTAGTAGTTTTAAAAAAGATTTTTAGCATATAATAAAAATGTTAAACAGTCATGTTATGTAATCACTCCACTGTCTATTTTCTTTCTTCCCACTCGCTGGTGAAAGAAACCCTGGTCCGATTGTTCCTGTAGAAAACACTGTTACTCTGACTTCCCAAAACCTTTCTCTCTTACAATGCTACATACTATGTTCCTAAACATCAGAAAGGCAGACAAGCAGAGGGATTCAAACAACAAAACGTTCCAGTGCTGTTTGACTAAATATCCACTCGGCCAATCAAAATGTAATATTAATTAGAACATTTTCAGGTCAGGTTAAAATGATTTCATATGGAGAATATAAGGAAAGGTAATAGTGAAGTAAAGCAACCGTTTACACCCAACAGAGTTCCTTCGTTTTCTCCACTTTCTCTTCGGGTGACTGCTTGCCGCTGAAGCATCATGCAGTTATTCACTGATCTATGCGAGCTGAAATCACTGTCTGTCATCACCAGCACAGACCTCTCTCTCTGCATTCTGAAGCTGTTTGTTTTTGCTGCATTATTCAAATGGCACTGCATACTAACACCACAATGTTATGATTCACAGGGTTAGCAATCTATGTGCAAAACACAAGCAGTTGTCATGGGGACCGAACTACTAACATTATAATAAACATGATTTTATTACCTCTGCTCATGGTTGACCTGTTTCTTTCCACAGGCTCGTACTTATATTAACTCACTTCCTCAGTTGCCCAAGAGGAATTTTGCTGATGTATTTATTGGGGCTAATCCTCTAGGTAAGAGACGCATGTTTAGACACTGAAATGATTTGTGGGTACCCTACTGTTCAAAAGTTTGCGGTCGATAAGATATTCTTTGAATGGAAACTACAGAATAGCATTTCTTTGAAATGGAAACTTTTTCTAAATGAAGGTGACAAACCCGTCACACTGTAATCACCCAGCTTTTGTAAATTCACTGTCACTTTTGATCAGTTTAATCTTTAATTGATACTTTTATGTGAATAAAAGTATCAATTTCTTTCAAAAACAACAAAAAAAGAACTTTGTGACCTCAAACGTTTAAATGGTAGTGTAAATGAAATTGCAGTTTATTTAGTATGTTTAGTATATATTATTGTAAAGTACATATTGTTTAGGAAATAAAAAAAACAAATAAAAAAAATAAAATAATTCCCTGTTATTTTGTTGATTGACAATTTGAACAAATGTATATTTAATTTTGATCATATATTTATATAATCTGTGTGTTTTTAGCTGTGGACCTTCTGGAGAAGATGCTAGTTTTGGACACAGATAAGCGTATCACAGCAGCGGAGGCTCTGGCGCATACGTACTTTGCCCAGTACCATGACCCGGATGATGAACCTGAGGCAGAGCCTTTCGACCAGACTTTTGAGAGCCAAGAGCTTGATATTGAAGAGTGGAAACGTAAGTCAAGTGAAGAGTTTTTGGTGTTGAGCTTTATGTGGAAAATGCTAGTTAGTACAAGTTAAAAGCGCTTTAAGCTATTTTCGCATTTTTGCTCACTTGACACTGAATTAGACCGGCCTACATTTAGGCGACCATGAACTAGCCTTATTTTAGAATTATTTATTTATTATTTTAGAATTATTTATTCATAAATATTACCCTATATTTATGTACAGTTACTTGAATTGGCCTTTATTTTTTAGTCTGTTTAGTTTTTGTTCTGTGCTTTTGTCATTAATTTTGTTATTAGTTTTCACTTTAAAATATTAATATTGTATTTTTGTTGTAGCTTTAGTTCTGTTTTAGGTTATTTATTTCCAGTTTGTAATTTTAGTACTTAAACTTTTTGTTTAAAGTTTTAAATCCATCCATCCATCATTAAAAATAACCCTGTTCTGAAAATGTAAAGGAGCCATGCTGGTTCCGTTTTGTTAAAGACATTATTTAGGATGAGCTAGATTTAATGTATGTTGCAGTTAAATCCTTCATTTTTTGTATTCTGTTCCTGCACAGGTCAAACATATGAGGTGGTGATCAGTTTTGAGCCTCCAGTCTTTGATGGAGATGAAATGGAATCTTGACAGTTTCTTTGGGATGGAAATCAAACCAACTGTACTACTTACCATACAGTAATGCTCTAATTTTGCAGTATTGTAATCAGCCACTCAGTAGGATATTTGACTTTTCTTTTGCTTTCTTAATTTTTTTTTTTTTTAAAGTTGTCTACTTGGCCAAACCGAATGAATAGATGCCATGGAAAATCATTGAATCTCTCCAAAAGAATAGTCTGAGAATAAGAATATCATACACTTATTTTTTTTAACAGTTTGCTCTGGTCGGTTTTATGATGTTCATGTATGACATTCATGCAAGAAGATTCAAATGTAATACCTCCCTGAAATTTCTTAGTATTTAGTTGTGCTGTTAGATTCTTTCTATGTATAGTGTATCGCATTTGCAGTATGAGTTTTTTTAAATGTTCAAGAGAAAACCCTGGTTGAAAATGTAAAACATTGTTCATCTAGTTTGTTTTAATATGTATTGTTTCCCAATTAAATAATGAGCATTTTATTTAATGATTACAGTACGATCTTCATTAATCAGATTGAAAAAGATGAGATTTGTTGGAGCTTCTTTGGGTATAGCTTGGAAGAATATGTAAATTGTGGCATTGGGTATTAGTAATATGTTCAGGCTATTTGTAAATATACCTTTCATTTAGCTTTTGGATTCTTTAGTTGTTTTATTTCTATTCTGATATTTTTCACATACTTATGTGTATGTTTCCTTAGGGGTGAAAGTGTGTGTTTTTGTGTGTGTGTGTGTGTGTGTGTGTGTGTGTGTGTGTGTGTGTGTGTGTCCACCTGATGTTGCTACTGTGATTTGTATGCGATCTGAAAATACGATTTTGTCTCCAGTAGCTGTTTTTAAAAAGCTGTTAACTGAATGTTCAAATATGAAAGTAGAGTAAGTATTTATACTGTTGAGGGGTATTTATGAACCTGCTAAGTTGCAATTGTCTTCTTTATTACCTGACATAAAAAAAAAACATTGAATCAAACACACCATTGTTTACTTAAAATAAAGGCCGATATTTTTCAGAAACTTCTGCTTCCTTGGTTTGATTTGTGGTTTTATGTTGAACAAGAGAAATCATAATTGAACTTTTCATTTTCAAAGAACCACTTTAATGCATTTTATGATCAAAAAACACCTTTAAAATGGGTTTTCTTGATCTCTTACAAGAAAATCTCTTCCTATGTCGACCATACCATTGTCCCGTGGATTTACCTGTGTTTTGTTTTTGTGTTCGGTCATTTTTTTGGTTAAAATGCGCATGTTTTAGTTCTGTTTTTAATTTCGCAAACACGCATTTAAAAAAAAAAAAAATAGTACGGACTGTGGACGCGCAGTAGTCAAGATGCGCGTGTCCGGGGGCGCGCGCGCATGCGCAGGGCCACCCAAGCCGCCAACTGAAGGGGCCAACATGGAGAGAAAAGGTAATCTATTCCTTTACTTTCTCTGAATAAAATTTGCCTTATTTTGAACTATAACGTTTATGCATGAGGCAAGATGACTAACTTACAATCTGACTCAAAGTAGTAGTGCAATATTAAAGCGTAAATGCCCATTTTGCTCGTTCTTTGAACGCATGGGTTGGTGTCTTTAGCGTTAGCATTTAGCCGCTCAGTCTGCTGCTGAAGTGAGCTGAATTTATTTTCATCACGACTCAGAGGCATATTTTATGTTTGGTTTGTATCGCCTTCGCTTAAGAGATTTTACTTTTCTTTGGTTTTTGATAGACGTTATGCGTATGAGTAACGTTAGGCGCGTGCGCGTATCAGCTGGATGAGAGTTGAAAGCTTTTTTTTTTGCTGTCGTGGAAAGTTCAGGAATTTATTTCCTTCAGCCTTCAGTTTTGCATCATTGTTCCTGATGTTATTAAAACCGATAAAACATTCATGTTGTTAAAGATACATGTATTGCGACTATTTAAAGTTCAGTTCCTGTCACAATGTAAACATCCACCCAGCTGTTTATTGTTTATGTGCATTACAAAAGATCAACATCAGCGGTCTGTGTGTCTCCTGTATTATTGTCAGGCTATGTTTGGCTGTCATTGAGCTTACTGAGTTTAAGTTTTATAAATGGTTTCATTGTCACCTAATGTTTTCTTATGTCATCTCATTTGTCACACCAGTTCTGGCACTTCAGGCGAGGAAAAAAAGGGCCAAAGCCAAGAAGTCGACCAAGAAGTGAGTTTTGTGCCTCCCCCTTCTATTAAATAGACCACAATTCTGTCCATAGAGACTAAAAATCAACTAAAAAAATATAAAAATCTTTATTATGTCCTTGAAGTTGCACAGTGTGCTCTTAAACCACTGTTTTGAATTGTGATTACATGCTTGTACTGTAGTATATTATGAGTCATCCTGAGGTTGCTGACTTCGCTCTGTTTATTTAGTCTTATTTGTTGAACCGTGTTCAATTGACAATAATGCTTAACATTTTGGCAGAATGAAGTCATCCTTTTGGCATGCGCAGTATTAAGTTGCACTTTCTTACACTTAGCCTAAATGTTTGTGATGATGTTGACACAGGTGTTATTCTTGCATAGGTTAAACCAAAAATGGATAGATACAGTTAGTAAAATGCTTCCTAACACTGGCAGACTTTTAACTAATATTATATCAGCATTATATGTAACAAAAGAGCTTATTCAGTAGAAAACAAAACACTGGTTGTGCGTGCATGGTGCCTCGTGGATTTAGATTCAGATGACTGATCTTGGTGCATTTCATGAAGTTTAAAAATAGGAATGTTTTTATCGAGGCAGTTTTTTTTTTTAATATAATGTGTCTTGCAATACAGTGTTTACAAGCAGTTTACAATAGTAAACAGAAAAAAAACAACACTACCACAAGATTGTTTAATCAGGATTCAACAGTTTTAGTTAGAATTACAATTTCTGTTTCACCAATAAAGCAGCTCTACAGAAGATGATATAGTTGCATTATTCAGGTGACTTCAGTTCAATAGATATAGTAGTAAAATGCAGTTTTTATGCAGGTCCTTTTGATTGTAATCTATCAGAAATGTAAATCACATGATGAAACGGTTGTCTGAACATTTATACCATGTAAAATCGGCATCAAAGAGTCTATAATGTAAGAGGACTGTACTGTAATGCGTGTCCATTGACCTAAATGAAATGTACTATCATCCCTCAGGCCAGCACATCCTCCACGCGGGGCATCACAACAACAGCAGCAGCCTCCTACAGAGACCCAGATACAAGCTGAGCCCGAAGAGGAAATCCTAGGCTCTGATGATGAAGAGCAAGAAGATCCCAATGACTATTGCAAAGGTGGGAGACATGGATTTATATGTCCCATTTTGACAGCAGAAGTTACTGCTTATAGATGAGACTTGCTGAACAGCGCAACCCAGAAAGTAAAAATAGACAGGCGGCAGTTCCTTGTTTCACAGTTATTGTTTTTTTCTGTTGTATCTGTTGGCCAAACTCTTCCTTTCTAGAAGTGCAACACATAACTACTGTACCCTGCAAAATAAATCTACTGGAAATAGACAAATCATTTGTGTTTATACCCCTATGGTGGGATCTCTATATCTATGATATCTTTTTTGTTTTATTTGTTTTTTGTACTTAATTCAAAACGGAAGTGACATTATTATTTTTTCAATTTATTATTTTATATATTTTTTTTGCTTTATTAATTATCTACTTATTTTAAAATATCAATAGTCTTTCTATTTTTGGCCTAAGCATGCTGTAATTGGATTGCTCAAAATCAATCCCTAAAAAAAATGACAATCAAAGTAGCTCTGAAGCGGCCTTCCCACTACTGGTTGCCTACAAATATTTATAAATGACATTCACAGATGTTATTCCATATGGTAGACACCAAATCAGTTTTCTTGCAGCTAAAAAAAATAATTTAGATAGAAAATACTTAAAGGTTTAGTTCACCCAAAAATGAAGTCATTTATGACTCACCCTCATGTCATCCCAAGCCCGTAAGACCTCCGTTCATCTTCAGAACACAGTTTAAGATATTTTAGATTTATTCCGAGATTTTTCTGTCCCTCCATTGAAAATGTATGTACGGTATACTGTCCTTATCCAGAAAGGAAATAAAGACATCATCAAATTATAGATAACACCAGATAACATGTCGCCAGCATCACTGTGGACTCGTGAACGCGGCTTGACAACAGAACCGGAAGAGAATACATTGCTGAATAAAGTCGTAGTTTGTTATTTTTGGGCCAAAATGTATTTTCGATGCTTCAAAACATTTTAACTAACCCACTGATGTCACATGGACTACTTGGATGTCTTTATTTCCTTTCTGAACAAGCACAGTATACCGTACATACAGTTTCAATGGAAGAACAGAAAGCTCTGGGACTAAATGTAAAATATCTTAAACTGTGTCCTGAAGATGAACGGAGGTCTTACGGGCTTTGGACGACATGAGGGCGAGTCAGGAATGACATAATTTTCATTTTTGGGTGAACTTACCCTTTAATATTAGAGATGAACAAGAAACAGTAAGTGCTCTTTCCTATCAATTATCTGCAGCACAAGTGCTGGTTTAACTGGGTTTCACAGAGCCATTCTCCTGAAAGTCGCTCGTCAATTGCGTGAAGTTAAACATATCTTAATTTTGTTGCATCACTGGACATGCCTACATTCTGTCGCCAATGTTCACTAGCTACGTTTCCGTTACCCTTGAAGTTGCGAATTGAAAATACTCCAAATGGAAACACGTCAATTTCGTAAAAACTCCCAGATATCGTAAAAAAAGGTTATGCTCTCGTGAGGGTTTTTTTTTTTTCAGGCAGTTGCAAAACTGCAATGGTAACGAGGCTACTGTGTCGCCGGAAATCTCCAGCTCTCTGTTAAAACAAATGGGATCATGTCGTTTTGACACTGGCAGTGTTAATGCTTCTTAAAGGATAATTGATGAGCTTTCTGAATATCTGCTGAAGGATTACTTTTCTTCTTTGGTTAGGAGGCTATCACCATGTGAAAATAGGGGACCTATTCAATGGTAAATACCATGTGATCCGGAAGCTGGGGTGGGGACATTTCTCCACTGTGTGGCTGGCCTGGGACATCCAGTAAGAGCTTTGTCATTTCGAAGAACCTAAGACACATTCTAATGTGCTGAAATCGCATATGCGTGATATTATTTTTCTTTTCACTTTTTCTTTCATCAGAGGGAAGCGGTTTGTTGCAATGAAGGTGGTTAAGAGTGCAGAGCATTACACTGAAACAGCTCTGGATGAAATAAAGCTACTCAGATCTGTAAGTATCTCGATAAACATCTGAAATGCTTAATATAACCAAGAAAAATAAAAAAAAGAATGAAACAATGAAGATTAAAATCTTCATCCATAAAATATTTGTATGTTTTTATTGTTTTTAGGTCAGAAATACAGACCCTGATGATCCAAACAGAGAGATGGTTGTGCAGCTACTGGATGACTTCAAGATCTCAGGGGTCAATGGGACTCGTATCCTTGAATATGAAGAATGTTGTGTGTGTGTGTGTGTGTGTGTGTGTGTGTGTGTGTGTGTGTGTGTGTGTGTGTGTGTGTGTAAGAGAGAGAGAAATAAGTCAAGAAGTCTTCAAGCAGGTGTCTCGTGCTATTTTAAGATACCCCACATTCTTTTACAAGGGCACTTGTGAATGCTGACTTTGAAACGGTTAGCAATTATACTAAGAGAATCTGTTCTGAGATCCTTCTACATTTATTTAGAACTTCTACATTTATTCTTACCAACAAGATTCTGTTTCAAAAGCGTTAGACCTTTACTTGACTTTTCAGATGTCTGCATGGTGTTTGAAGTTCTAGGGCACCACTTGCTTAAATGGATTATCAAGTCCAACTATCAAGGCTTACCTCTGCCTTGTGTCAAGAGTATCATTCGACAGGTAACACAGCAGACCATCACACACATCAGTGTATAGATAATTACGGTCTGACTAATTAGCTGCTGTCCTGGATTTACTGGATCAGTTACTGACCGGGTTTGAAATGAACTTTTTCACCAGCCAATTTGGGTACTAAATCTTTAAGTTACCAAGCCATTCAGAACTTCTCCTAGCCAAAACAAAAATATCGGAAATAAACCATAATTAGATTTAAATATTATTTATTATTAAATCTGATTCATTGTATTGCTTTTATGACGGTCAATCTGTTTGTGGCACTCTTTACACATTGTTTTGCTAATGTTTGAGGCCATGCAAAGTAATAGAACATTACTATTTACGCAGCTTTAGGGTTTTGGTGTTATTAAATGTTAAGAATGATTTACTTATTAAAATATTTCTCTTTTTGGATGAAGTAAGGGATAGTGTACACCACTGTTCAAAAGTTTGTGGTCATTAATTTTTTTTTTTTGAAGAAATTAATTTTATGAAAGATTCCAATTTTTAATAAATGCTGTTCTTTTAAACTTGATTTTTTAAAATCATATTTCCCCAAAAATATTAGGCTGCAAAACTGTTTTCAACATTTATAATAATAATAAATGTTCTGTGAGCACTAAAACCAGCATATTAGAATGATTTCGGAATGTGACACTGAAGACTGGAATAATGACTGTTGAAAATTCAGCTTTGCCATTACATAAATAAATAATAAATAATATTATTTTTTAATATATTGAACATAGAAAACACTTATTTAAATAGTATAACATTTAACAGTGTTATTGTTTTTACTGTATTTAAAAAAAAAAAACGCAGCCTTAATGAGCAGAAGAGACTTCTTTCAAACACTTTAAAAAGTCTTACTGACCCCAAACTTTTAAATGGTAGTGTTTCTCAATAAAAATCAGAAGCAATCAGAATCATGTTATAGAGAGCCGTAAATAACCAATAATAATAAAACTTTAATATTTTTATTTATTCATTGCTAGATTCATTCAGTTTTGGGATTAAAATTGTGTTGTGTTGCTCAAGTATGTTTGTTTGAAAGAGTCTCTGTATTTTTAAAATCTCTCAGGTTCTTCAAGGTCTGGATTACTTGCACACCAAGTGTCAAATCATCCACACAGACATAAAGCCAGAGAACATTCTCATGAGTGTGGATGAGGTATATATCCGGCGGTTGGCTGCAGAGGCCACTGAGTGGCAGAAAGCAGGCGCTCCCCCTCCATCTGGGTCAGCAGGTACGGCACCTCTGATCTCTGACACCCACATACACAGTGAATCGCACTTATTACACGGCTACAGTCCATTTCAGATTATTACGTGCCAGCGTTTCCCTGCTAGATTTTAGTTTAGGTAAGATCACTTGCTCTCTTTAACAAAACTTGTTGGTTTACTTTCATACCCTCCAGCATACTGCTCTTAAAAAGAAAATTTGTTTGCTTTGTAAACTGTCATTGTGTTACAATGTTTTGTGTTGGTCTTTGTCTTCCAGTGAGCACTGCCCCAGCACCTAAACAGGTATAGTATCCTTCTTTTGAATTTTCATGCTATGCATATTATTTCAGAGAATGAAATGTTTTTTTAAGTAATTTTAAAATGTCCCAAATAGAACCAATCCAGTCAGTCTCACACTTTCTGTAGTTCCCTGAAGTTGTTAATTAAGTGAAATATATTTCACATATTTATCCCTTATATATATGATTTTATTGTGTTTTTCGCATTTAAAACTAAACTTTTAGTTGAAATTCTTTTATTTTAATTCTTAAAGAAGTTTAACCAACTTCTGCTGTTGGTTAGGAAAACTGTAGTTGACAGAACGTTTATATTGAGCTTTGTGAGCCCGCTGAACCCAAGCTATAGTTTGGGTTTGCATGGTTTTGTCAACTCTAAACTTACTCTGAAACTTCATGCCACTGGCCACTGGAGTGTTTCAGGTAAGATGATTTTGCTTTTTAGCATTAACATGATTACCCACCTTTTCCTCAGGCACCGAAAATGTCGAAAAACAAGAAAAAGAAGCTAAAGAAGAAGCAGAAGCGTCAAGCAGAGCTCCTGGAGAAGTGCATTATGGACTTGGAGGAGATGGAGATTGGGCCTGAAGGCAGAGAGGAGGATGGGGAGGAGGATGACCCAGAATCCCCCAAATCCCCCACCTACGCCCCACTCCGACAGGCATCACTCCAGGATATTGCTACTGAGAACACAATAAGTTAGTTTCTATTTGTATGATCAATTTTGTTATATTTATTATAGTTGATAGTTAAAAGCTTGAACATCCTTTTTGTGACTCTTGATTAAAAGTACAAATCATCTGCCATTAGCATATCTCAATCATGTTTCTATTTCTATGCATTTCTCATAATAGTGGAGACCAGAGAGAGACTAACATCAGATGCCTCACTTGAGCTCAACTGTAACGGCTGCATGCACTCCAGTCAAAGGCAACCTGAGGAGGACGATCAATGTGACCAGCAACATGGCCAACTTCTACAGGAGGACCACCATAATGCGAACACAGGCCCAGAGGACACCGTTCAAAGCATGTATGAGTACTGTAATGGGGCAGAGTCCCCGGAACTGGACCAGGCCAGCTATAGTAATGGCACCTCAGGACGAGAGCTGCTGGAGGAGGCAGAACTTCCATCTGGGGAGCAAGATCAGCAAAAGACTAGAACCAGAGCCAGGGAACAGAACAAGGATAAGCTAAAGAATGGTCAGTGTGTTTTCTAGTATTTTAGTGAGGATTTTCAGAGAATATATATTCATGGTTTTTTTCTACTTTAGATATGCCTCAATCATGCTGGCAACTTTTTGTATTAAAGGGATAGTTCAGACAAAAAATGTAAATTTTGGACTTTTTGATGAGTCAAAAAGTGCGAATTTTTGATGAGTCACTCTACAATGATCACATGGCTGTTGTTTGATTGGCTCTTTCTTCTCTTTCAGATAAGCTGTCAGCTGGAAGCCTATTGGTCAATCCACTGGATCCACTTAACTCTGAGCAGATCAAGGTCAAGATCGCTGACCTTGGCAACGCCTGCTGGGTGGTAAGGCTCTTTAATAATCAGATGAAATCAATATTGTTTTCATTTATGTACAAAAACGCAGATAAACACCATTATATCACAATTTATGCGCTATAATATATAAATATACAATTTCAAATTATGAAATGTACACTACCATTTGGTGTCAGTACAGGGTTGGTTTTTAAAGCAATTATTACTTTTTTCAGTTAGGGCCTATTAAATTGATCAGAAAATGACAGGAAAAATGTTTATGATTTCTATATTAAGCAGCACAACTATTTTAAAGGTGCCATATAACATCATAAATCAAATCCTACTCCATATTCCATAACAGATGGGGGCAGTATACCTCCAAAAAATGACTTGTGCTCCTACCATCGCGCATGTTATTCAAATCATTTGACATGATAGTAAAAGGTTGGAAGACCGCATTTTCACGTGGAACATTTGGAGATTTTTAGAGATCAGAGACTCAATGAACTAAACACTAGAGTGAACTAAACTAAACACTATGAATCTCAACACTAAATGATGAAGACCGCCTCATAGATCTCAAAAACAAGCTGGTGCATTTCGACGGTATGGGAAAATAAAAGCTTGGGCAATTATTTGAAGTTTATGGTATTCGTTTTGTTCATATTACACTTTTATTGTTAGTGAATTAATTTGACAGACAGCATTCGCTGATGTTGATCAAGCTAGCGCCGTGAATTCACCGTGAGACACACGCAATTGACACTTAGCAAGCAGGTTAGTTAAGCTCTCAGATTCTGTCAATTATATTACGCAATTCAAAGAATAAATACCGTTTTGGCGCTTGTACATGTTACACTACAGATTCCTAGCGCACGTGAACCGATCGTCTCTACTAGCTTGAAAAAGAACACGAACACTGGTGAAAGATACAGTATGCTACAACTTACCAAAATGTATTCCTCATGCATAATGTCGACCAATCATTTTTTGAACTCTTCCCTGAACTGAAATGTAGTAATTGGCTGTATTTCCACACGACTGACATCAGGTTCAAGTACACACAAGCCGGCCGGCGCGAGCGCGACTCACTCGTCTATTGCAGTTTGGCTGGTGCTAACGTTGCCCGTCCGCATACCGCCTCCCATGGCCGGAACTGGTATTACGATACCTGCCGGGCCGGGGCTAGTAATTTAGCATGCTAATTCAGGTTAATATCTCGGCAGCACTATAACTTGTCAGTTTTTTAATGACATCTTTGCACTTATTTCTTCTCACTCTTTTGATGCGTGTAGCTCATTTTTCGTATATTGTTACCTCAATTATTACATATGCCACCTTTAAACACCAATAATAATAATATTTCTTGAACACCAAATCAGCATATTAAAATAATTTCTGAAAGATCATGTGACATTGATTGGAGTAATGGCTGCTAAAAATTTAAGCTTAGCCATCACTAGAATAAATGACATTTTAAAATGTTAAAATGGAAAACATTTATTTTAAATGTGTGATAATATTTACAATATTACTCTTTGCAGCCTTGGTGAGCATAACAGACTTCTTTCGAAAACATCTTACCAACCTTAACATTTTGGATGGTAGAGTAAATTTTTTTAGGTCTTGGTCTCCAGACCATTTTTTTTTAAGGTCTTGTCTCGGCGGCATTTGTGCTGGGTCTGGTCTTGGTTACAAACTAAGAGGACTCTGGAATTTATTTCAAAACTAGTCTAAACCACAAATGGAGGAATAACTCATTTCTAATTTGATTTATTTTATTACTTTTGTTGTGGGTCAGAAATCAACAAGGGATTGTGTCAAAATGTCACTAATTAATAAAAAGGCCCACAAAAATCAAGATATATTATTATTATTTTTATAACATATGATAATTAATCAAGCAATATCACAAGAGCAAGAGAGCTGTTTTCACAAATGAGCATGATTGCAAGTCTGATTTAGATTTTATTAAAATGTTCAATAAACGAAGTTTTTTTTGAAGCATTAATCTCAACATTATTTATGCATTTGATTGTTAACATCTCTGTATAGTGTCTTCTTCTAATTGTATTTATTCATTAAATATAAGATATTTCTTATGCAGTAAATGGATCTTTTAGATTATTTAAACAGTGCTGGACCTTGGTCTTGACTCAGTCTCACCCTGCCTTGGTCTCAACACACACTGGTCTTGGTCTCGGTTTAGGAGGTTTGACTACAACACTAGTGTGAACCTTTCTGTCCTTCAGCACAAGCACTTTACTGAAGACATTCAGACCCGACAGTACCGCTCCCTGGAGGTGCTGCTAGGATCCGGCTACAGCACACCTGCTGACGTATGGAGCACAGCCTGCATGGTAAGAAACTGCACATGCTCTTTCATCAGTCATACATCCACAGACACTCTGGTGAGCAATGGTCAGCCAATTTGGCAACAATTCAGACTATTCAGGTGTTTTTTTTTTTCTCTCTCTCTTTTCAGGCGTTTGAATTGGCCACTGGCGATTATTTGTTTGAGCCTCACTCTGGTGAAGATTACTCCAGAGATGAAGGTAATGCATTGGTTCTTTACATTCACGATTTTCTGTCTGAAATATGATCAAAACGATGAATTAAATGAAATTACTTAAAATACATTTATTGAGGAAAGTTGTACAGTAATACACGTTTATCTATTAAATACCAGTGCATGTTTACAATAAGACACTTGCCTAATGATTTTTTTGATATGACTGGCAATATACTGTCTGAAGTCATATTAATTTATTGCTATGTAATGGAATTAAAATACCTAATTATTGATTTTGTTGTTTTCTGCTTTACTGAGATGTATTGACATTACACTGCTGTAATGGCTATAATCCTGTGGTTATTTTCCATACTAACAGTCAGAGCCTTCTTTTAAAAATGTATGAAAATGGCCTCTTCTTTAAACTTCCTCTTTATATTGACTTCCTCCTCCACCTTTCGCCCACTTCTTCTGCCTCTGTTATTGACCCATGTTTCTTTTGTTCCTCCTGATCTTCTATTCTTATTTTATACTCTTGCTCAACTAAGACAGAAAGATATATTTTGCATGCTTTAGAAATTGATTGAGAGTGGTAATATGTTATGCAATTTAAACCTAATTTATTACCATTATCAGTAAAGCTTAGTTGTTTCTAGGAAATTCTGACATTTGTCATCTAATTGTGTTTGCGCTAGGCTGTTTAAACACCTTGTCAGTTAGGTTAGTCATGATCAGAATTTGCATGTATAGAGCCACAATATGTTTCCTCATTTAAGGATAATACATGCAAGTAACGAGATACTCTACTTCTCATGGTAGAGGGACATTTCAGGTTGATTGCCAGAGTGAGTCATTTAATGGGTTACAGCATTTGGTAGTTAGTTGTGTATTGTGGTTTCCTCACTGTATTTGTATGTCTGCAAGGTACAGTGGGACAAAAAGTATTTAGTCAGCCACCAATTGTGCAAGTTCTCCCTCTTAAAAAGAGGAGAGAGGCCTGTAATTTACATCATGGGTACACTTCAACTATGAAAGACAAAATTAGAAGAAAAAAAAACATTTCAGGAAATCACATTGTAGGATTTTTAATGAATTTATTTGCAAATGATTGTGGAAAATAAGTATTTGGTCACCTACAAACAAACAATATTTCTGGCTCTCACAGACCTTTAACTTCTTCTTTAAGAGTCTCCTCTGTCCTCCACTCGTCACCTGTGTTAATGGCACCTGTTTGAAGTTGTTATTATCAGTATAAAAGACACCTGTACACAACCTCAAACACTCACACTCCAAACTCCACTATGGCCAAGACCAAAGAGCTGTGAAAGGACATCAGAAACAAAATTGTAGACTTGCACCAGCTAGGAGGACTGAATCTACAATAGGTAAGCAGTTTGATGTGTAGAAATCAACTGTGGGAACAATTATTAGGAAATGGAAGACATACAAGACCACTGATAAGAATGAATTGGGCCATGTGTTGTGAGATTTTGAGTGAAAACCTCCTTCCATCAGCAAAGTCTTTCAGCATGACAATGATCCCAAACACCAGCAACCGTGTGTGAAAACCTTGTGAAGACTTACAGAAACGTTTGACCTTTGTCATTGCCAAAAAAAGTTATATAACAAAGCATTGAGAGAAACTTTTTTATTGACTTATTTTCCACCATAATTTGCAAATAAATTCATTAAAAATCCTACAATGTGATGTCTCTCATAGTTGAAGTGTACCTATGATGAAAATTACAGGCCTATCTCATATTTTTAAGTGGGAGAACTTGCACAATTGGTGGCTGACTAAATACTTTTTTTCCCAACTGTATTTAGCAGAATCTGGTCAGACAAGAAGTCAAACTGGAGAGACAGGCAGATACCAGAAAATATGCTGTGTTCTAAACTTACTCTTGTGGTAGACCATGTTGCACTTTAATACGCTGATGTAATTTTCCTTAATATCAAGTGTGCAGAATTAGATCACATATTTTTTTTTAACTACTTCCTTGCCCTTCCTAAATCGCCTCTCTATTTCTGATTGGCTTAGAGAGATCATAACCTGTAGTTATCTGTGTGTCTCATGGTTTTTCCAGTAACCGTTCCATCTCTTGCTCATTCTTGTTCTGTTTATGTGCCACTGGAGGAGAGACACTCAGTTGTACTTCTGCGGTAGTGCTGAGCATTTTCAATTATGAAAACAAGATAATTAAATAAGCTATTTCAAAATAACCTTAAGCAAATATCAGTTGATGTCAATCCATATTTTGTACCGTTAACTTATGATGCTTAATTTTGCTCTTTGTTTTTTAGCGTTTTTATATTTTTAAAAACAAAATAGAATTTTGTATTAACAATTTTAGAATTTTTATTAACCATTTATCATCTATATTTATTTAGCTTAAAATTTAAATAATTATTGGCTAATCGGGTTTGACCTGAATTTTAATATTTAAATTTCCCTTTAGGATGAGTGTGTTTGAAGTTTAATGTTCATAATGCAAAAATATTTGATACCAAAATGCCATCTTGTGCTCACTTATGTTAGACACCCTCTTTAGTTTGTAATCTGGCATTCTGACCCACTGTCATTTGCCTAGAGTTTGTCCTTTTTCTTTTTTTTGGATCCTGACCATGTTCTTCCTGCTTGTCCCCATTCCATTTTCATGCTCTCTTTCTGTCTCTGTCTTCCCCATCTCTCTCTCAGACCACCTTGCTCTGATTATTGAGCTTTTGGGGCATATCCCCCGTCACTATGCTCTGAGTGGGAAATTTTCACAGGAATATTTCAGCCGGAAAGGTACGCCTGTCAGTCAGGTAGAGCCCTACCCTGAGGGAGAGGTTTGAAGGGAAGAGAGGAGATTCCAGCAGCTTCATTGACAGCACAACCTTGTCACACTTAGTTTTCTGAAAGTTTGGCTGAAAATCTTCCTCGGCACAGTAGTCCAGTAGTTCTCAGTGAGACTCTTCTTAGAAGTGGGCCCTAAGCACAACAGACGAACTGTTGTAGCTTCAAAGCCGCAGAAGTGTGGCATGACTTCGCTTGAAGCTCTACCAGAGGCAGCCGAAGCTCAAAAACACACAAGTCCAATTCTTCTTACAATCTTTAATCTGGAAGTTCTTCAGTGTGTGACCTCTATCTGTGCTGTCCGGACATGGCTCCTCGGCTTCCCTTTCGTCTCCCTTCTCTCAGGATGGGTGAATGACTGTATTAACACTGTCTGATCAAGTTGTCCATTGTTTCATCCTCCCCTCCACCTCACCACCCCCCTCCCTGCCTGACGCACTCTGTGTGTGATGGTAGACCACATTGCTTTGATCATTGAACTGCTGGGGGCCGTCCCACGCAAACTCGTATTGACCGGAAAATATTCCAAGGAGTTTTTCGGCAAGAAAGGTAACATGGTCATTATGAATAACTTTTATATCTAGTCCTAATGCTTTCGCTTCAGATTATTAAGTTGCTTTGCAAACTAAAATGTGTATGTAATGTACGCTACTATTCAAAGGTTTGGGGTCAGTGATTTTTATATATATATATATATATAACGGTTAGTTCCAATGCTTGATTCTGATTGGTCAATATCTGTGCTTTATTCACGATAATACATGACTATGACCGCTTCACCCAACGGTTCTATTTATCACTGCGCAACACTGCAGGTCCTATGTAGTTTTTATTTGAGCTTTCATGCATATTACACATTGGAACGTTGTTGCTGTTCACGGTCAGGGACTATTTTTTTTCTAGCGGAAGGAAGGCTTTTAGTGATTTTACTTCATGAGACTTGCACTAATACATATTTTTTTTAACTTTTTTTTTTATGGTGTGGTAACCGTTTTATAAAAGCTGCTGATCTGGTGCTCAAGATTTTTTTTTAATCAATTCTGAAAACGTATATTTGATTTCTATTTTTTGGAAACCATTATAAATTCAGATTTTCCTGATTTTTGGATGAATAAAAAGTTCAAGAGAACGGTTTCTATAACGGTTTCTAAAAGATTTGTATTTAAAATGGTCCTTGCTGAATAAACAATATTAAAAAAAAATCCTAGTGACCCCAGACCTTTCAACAGTAGTGCATCTTTTTCTAAAACAAAGCTTCATGAATAATTTTTTTGTGTCTTTGGATTTCGATACATTTTACAGACAGCAATTATCGAAGTTTGAATTTAATTCACCATGCTGTTCTTATTTTATGCAAATCATTGGTGCACAATACCCCCCCCCCCCCCCCAAAAAAAAAGGTCTATGCAATGAAAATGTATTAACTTGCCCTGCCTCCTAATGTCACCTACTTTTAACATTCATTCTTGTTGAATGTATTTTCACTTTGAAGTGCATCACATTATCAATTTAAAATTGGTTTATTGTTGTTTTTATGGGGCTTTTTTGGGCAACATGTTTATTAATGGCAAATGTTACTTGACATAAAAACACATTATAAAGCTATAAAAATATGTAGGGGTAAATGCATGGAATGGGAAGCTTGGAACCTTAAAGGGACACTGTTTTTATCTTATTATTATTCCCTTTACTAAGACGAGTTGATGCATACCCCTCTCGTCTCAGTGCGTGCACTAAATCGCACAAAATCGTGCACTAAATTGGATCCTAAGGAATGAACTAGGCTAAGCTAAGTGCTATAAAAGTTTCATCGCAAGACAGAGCGATTTAGTGCACGCACTGAGACGAGAGGTATGTAACAAAGGGAATAACATAGTTTAATATAAAAAAAATGGAGTATCCCATTAATTGTGTGCTTTCTGTAGGTGAGCTGAAGCACATCACTAAACTGAAGCCGTGGGGTTTACTGGAGGTTCTGATGGATAAATACGAGTGGCCTCGTGAGGAGGCCGAGACCTTCGCTGATTTCCTGCTTCCTATGCTGGAGCTCCTGCCAGAGAAAAGAGCCACTGCTGCCGACTGTCTGCGACACGCTTGGCTTGCCCTCTAGTGGCCTCTTGACCTCACTGCACATACTCCAGGCACTCTCCAGAGACTGCAACAGATCACTTTCCAGTTTATAGAGCATATCGGCATACTTATTTTTCTTCGGTTTATCTGAGTGAAATCTTTTGCTGGGTTCGCCAGAGGAATAGTAAACCTGTCTGTTTTTGTTCTAGCTGTTTTTTTTCCTACTCTTTTCAGACTTAAGATTTTTTGTGTGAGGGTCACACCTGCTGTGATCTTTCTAACTTCCCTTTTATCTTGGCAAAGGATGAAATGTAGACCTAGGAAATGCCTGTTTAGGTACCTGGGGAATTCTCAGTTTTAAGTTATAAAATATTAAGATTAGGGTCTGTTTTTTTTTTGTTGCCGTGCTTACTTCTCCAGAGTGCTGACAGCTCGGACTGCAGTGCGAGGCACAAGAGATCATTTTGTTACTTGTAGTGAAAAAAGAAAAAGAAAAAGTGGTTTCTGGAAAGGGAATTATTTGGTTTACCTTTTTTGACTGTAGAGTATAAATTAAGATGTTCTGTCCTGCGTCAAGACTCGCCACACTTCTGTGTTTCTCAACTATACAAGTGTCTTTTGTGTGTGTTTATTAGTTCAGTAGGTTTTGATCTTGTCTGTCTCTGATTAGATTTTGAAGAGCTGAAATCTTCTCACTCATGGTCAATACATTTTGTGTACAAGACGCTTCCACGTAAGGTGAGTAACTGTCAAAGGGCCACCAAAAAAATTATATTTGTGTGGGGGGAAAAAAGAAACATTTATTGTCTGAGTGTGTGTTGTACGTATGTGTTTGTGTGCGCGCATGTGCATGCGTGTGTGTCTGTATATATGTGTACCAAAGAGTTTGCCTTGATCTGTATATTACAGCCATGTACAGTTTTTAAAAAGAAAATCCTACTATTGCATCTAAGCTAAGATTATTTAGCAGGATAGAAGTGTTTTAATAAAGCATTTGGAAGATGGGTGTACCTGTTTGTCCGTCTTGCTGTTCTCAAAAATAATTAAATGCTATAAAATGCAGGTTACCTTTCACTGTAATTGTCACCAACCTTTTGGGTGGATATTTGTGCAAAACAATAAAAAAGTGGAAAAGGAAAAGAGTGCTGGTAAACAAATCACGTGCTTGATTTGATTTCATTTTGGAACATTTAATACATATAAACCAGGATTTTTCAATCTGTGATGATGGGGGTTAAGGAAAATGCTACTTTACAGACAATTTTACTTGACAACCTTTTCATTCTGCTCTCTAAAGACTGGAAAAAATAACCTTATTGTGATCATATTTACAGCTATAGCTAAAATGTGTAGATTTTGTTAAAGGTACATTCTGTAAATTTTGGCGCTCTCTAGCATTTAAAGCTGCAGTAGGTAACATTTGAGAAAAAGTTGACTTAAGGCCTCATTATGCTTCTGCGTCAACTCCACGGTGTAGCTACGTCGTCACTACTACGTCGTCGTGGCCGTTTTATACTTCTGCGTGAGGTTGTGGTGCTTCGCGGTGCATTTCGCCGCCAGAACGCTAGGGGGGTTCGCGAATCTCTTTGGTTCCGTGCGTCGCGAGCGAAAGAGAGATAATGTTGTTGCAGCTGCCAGCTGGAGCTAATCGACGTTGAATAACAAGACGACACAAAACTTTATCCCCACAGAATCAACACGGATGTCCAGGGCCCGTTCCACCCATAGACGGTAAAATAAAGGTTCCACCCGAGCTGCCATAACGATACCTGTTCGGAATGACTTGAAGGATTTTTTCAGTCTCCACATGGAACTGCTATGGCAGGATAATGTGTCCCGTGGCAGACTTGGCTAGTGCTGTATTATCAATGATGTAACCGTGAACATTGTATTGAAAATAAACAACAAACTGTGTTTCAAAACAAACGTTGATTTATTGATTGGTTGAAGTTTATTGTGAGAAAGAAAGAAAAGAATATAGACATATATTAACAATGAAATAAAAAACAGTTTATTTTTAGTTTAATTCTTTATTTAACGTTACTTTCTTTAAGAGTGTTATAATTAAAAGAACGAGGGTGCAAATGTTAAAAAATAGCGCTATAACAGGAGGGGGAAATCGGAAAAGCTACACTCCTGAAATTATGTTTAATCTGACCAATCAAAGCCCCTGCTGTCTGCGTCGCCTCGACGCGTAGTTACAAATTTTTTGGAGGTGCACGTCGAGCTACGGCGGAGGGGTCGGAGAGGGGTTCGCGTCGACGGATAGGTGTCTGCGGGGGTACGCCGTCGATTCGACGCAGAAGCATAAAACAGGCTTTAAGGCCCGTACACACCGGGGCGAATATCAGCGCACGATATTCGCCAGCGTTTTTCAACGCGTTTTTTGTGTTCACACCCAAGCGATTTTCGCTGAAAGTTTTTTTGCTCGCCAATTTTCTCTGCAATACCACTCCATATCAGTTTTCTTTTATCAAGATGTTTGTATTTGTAGTCCCTGTCGTGTTTGTCATATAGTTCTTTATGTTCTAACACCAATGAGAACAGCAGCTCTACATTGATCTTGCCTTACATCTTCCTCGTCCTTTTTCTACCTGGCTGTGTAGACGGCGACGCTACTTGGCGTATATCGTCTTCTCTGTTCCGTATATGTGCTCGGCAAGACCGTTTTTAGTTTGAGTGCCCCCAAGTTGTGTTTTACTGTAAATTTAGAAGCTCCAAACACGTGAGCATTGGTCGGATAGTTTTTGACGCGGCGCGTCAAACAAAAAAACGAACCCGAGGCGTTTTTTAAAATAGACGCTTTTACGCGTCGGTGTGCACACTCACACTGGCGCCCTTTGTTTGGTCACGAGGCGTTAAATGTCGGTGAATATCGCGTGCGAAATTCGTCCTGTTGATCGCGAGAGAGAGACCCGAGTGTGTTCGACAGTCTGATTCATATAGTCCTGATTGGTTGTTTCTGACCGGGAGCGATCTATTTCTGCAAATGGCAATAGGACCACTGGGAGGAGCTTGATTTTTTTTTTTTTTTTTTTTTTTTTCTTCCCACAGATCTGTCTCATAGTCTACTATCAGGACATAACAAATATGTAAAAAAAAACAATACTTGTTTACAAAAGTTACCTACTGGGGCTTTAATAAACAAAACTGCATTCTTTGTTTGTCTATGACGAGTCACGCATGTACTGTGCTACTATGGACGGCTGTCCTCACGCCAGGTTAAAATTGTCTGAATATTAACACTTATTATAGGCGTACAGTAGTGATTAAGGACAAGACAAATACATGGTGTGAACAGATTCATGATGTAGTTGCTCATACATTTTGTAAGTTTTGGGCAAAAGAAAAAGTTATAACAGTAATTTATTACTTTACCAAAAAAATAACACTATAGTATACAATATGTGTCTCCTTTAAAAACAGACCAAACTTAAGTCTGTGCCTCAAAGTATAAAAGATTTATAGCAGTCTAAGAGTCAAGAGCCAGTCCCTTAGGCAGTCTATCTAGGACTGATCTAGCTCTCAGATTCAATAGAAAATATCTTTATTTGTGTTCCGAAGATGAACGAAGGTCTTACGGGGTTGGAACAGCATGGGGGTGAGTAATTAATGACTTAATTTTCATTTTTGTGTGAACTAACCCTTTAATAAGATTTTATGATTTTGTTTTGCTTTAGTACGAATGTCCAGTTCCCTGTCCGCTGCAGATCTCCTGTTGGGTTTAGGTTTTTTACCTACAAACAAATGGAAACATCATCGTTACTAAAACCGTATTGTATTTCTACAGATTGCATCCTACAGTCGAGAATAAATATTTAGTAAATAATTCAAATAAATCTAAAAAAAATCAATTCCTAATGATTAATCATTCCTTCTCTTACCTCATCCTTTGTTTCCTTCCTCCACCTCAAAGTCGTCCGGCAGCAGTTTGTCTTGCCGGCTGCCCAGAGTGAAAGCAAGCAGTGCCAGTAACCCTGAGTCCAAGATGCTGATAATGCCTAGAATATAAGCCCAGCGAATGGTGCAGTTTCCCAGTGTGTACTTGTCCGTCCGCTCGCCACACATTCGCTTTACCTCTGGAGCATCCCAACCGTCCGGATAAATCATACAACCCATCACCATCAGCACAGCTACAGCATCAAGTGTAAAGGTTAAAAAAGGAGGTGAGTACATGATGATAGAATTTTCATTTTTGGGTGAATATCACTTTAAGAAAGTACACGTCATTGAATGATTTTGCATCTATCTATCTGTCATTTTTTGTTGTTGTTGTTTAAAGCATCTTTAAAGCAGCATTACTGTATTTCTACGTATTAGCGAGTCCAACTGGAAAACTATTAGCCCACCTGAAGATGTTTGCATCCATGCGCATATCTTGTACACACTTGCAGAGTTGCAGAAGAAGAAAAGACCCAAGCACACGATGGTGCCTACGATAAGGAGCATTGAGGTGCCAACAAAAAACATAGCAGTCCTGAAAGCCCCAGAGGGGATCGAGGCAAAATCAAACACGCTTCCTTTACAGACCAATTCGGAGGTGATGGGGTTGCCAATACAGTAGTGAAAAAGCCCAAAGTATCCAGCCTGCGGGGTGTTAACGCTGTCACCAATCCAATAGGGCTGAATGAAGACCACCACAGTAATGATGGCGAAGCATAAGGTGAAAACAGCCCACAGGACGCCGATGGCTCTGGCATTTCTCACATAATTGGTGTGGTAGATTTTGGCAGCCTCTTGGGCTGGAAGCATCTTCTCATTCGCCATTATTCGATCGATTTACGTTTATCTAGCGAGGTTAGAAATCTGGAGATATTTTTCAAGAACAAAACATGACTATGAGAATCTATTTCCGGATCCAGCAGCACAGACAGCTTCTATCTTACCGTAGAGTCCAAAGGCTGCTGTGAACAGTGTCAGAATCAATATCGTTGCCAACAAAGGTGTCAGTTTTTAAATTATTAATGGTAAATTCAGTCAAGGAATAAGGTGACGACAATAACCGGTTCTCTTGCTGTAATCAGATATGTTTGTTACTTCACAGTAAAAGAATAGCTATTGTGTTCTAGGCCCAACATGAACTCTTTATCTTTTATAAAGCTGCACTCAACACACCTTGCCAAATCAACACAACTTTGTGTCTGCCAGATTGACAACTTTATCATACTAAAACAAAGTGTTACAATTATAAGCATCACGTTGAGGACTCTTATTAATATCTGATGTCACACCTGATCTTTTAAGGGCATTATTATCAATTATTTAAGTAAGTAAGTAAGTAAAATTTATTTGTATAGCACTTTTCTCAGATGAAGATCACAAAGTGCTTCACAACAAATGAAAGCATACAACTCTCATAAATACATTGCATCACAAAACAAAATAAAATACATAAAATAAATAAAATAAACAATACGTACACATTTAACCATTAAAATACACTACATGGCCATTTGTTTACATTTGTGAACACCAAACATACAGGCTACTCTATGTAAAGCGTGGCGGAGAGCAGGGGGAAAATCATGCTAAATGGTTAAAGGTGCTCTAAGCGATGTCACAGGTTTTTTAGGCCCAAACATTTTTTTTTGTCACATACAGCAAACATCTCCTCACTATCCGCTAGTTGCCTGTCCCCTAAACACAAAACGCGGGCAACCCAGGCTCCACAAATGGCAACAAAAACAATCTGTGGCAACCCTCTCTACGAAACATAACAAACTGTTCCAGCCAATAACTGACCAGAAGGCCCTGGGGGTGGGGTTTGGGGGGTCAGTGCAGATGGGGAGGAGGGGGGAATCTATCTAGCCTCCATTTTGTTTGAAAATACTTCAAACGTCAACAAGAAGTCACGTCACCCGGTTACAGTATTACATAATACCATGCAATTAACCCTCAACCAAAACAACCCTAATCCTATAGTAAGTGCATGCTGTTAATTAATATTACTTAGTACTGAAATATATAATTACACTTTTACAATGATACTTTAAAATAAACTATATTATTTAAATGTACTTAATAAACTTTTCTATTTGAATATATTTTAAAATGTAATTTATTCCTGTGATGTAAAAGCTGAATTTTCAGCATCATTACTCCAGTATTCACTGGATGATCCTTCAGAAATCATTCTCATATT